TCTTTGACCCCCCCCCCCCCCATTGTGGCCCCATCCTACCCCGAGGGATCATGATTTGAAAAAACTTAAATCTACACTACCAGAGGATGCTTCCACATGAGTTTCAACTTTTCTGGCCCTATGATTCTGTAGAAGAAGATTTTTAAAGATAATACCTGTGTATTCCTATATTAAACTTTGAACCCCCATTGTGGCCCCATCCTATCCTCAGGGGTCATGATTTGAACAAACTTAAATCTATATGTACACTACCAGAGGATACTTCCACATGAGTTTCACCTTTCCTGGCCCACTGATTCTTGAGAAGAAGAATTCTAAGGATTTTCCCTACGTATTCCTATGTTGACCCCCCTCCCCCTCATGCCCCACCATACCCCCTGGGGATTATGATTTGAACAAACTTGAATCTACATTACCTGAAGATGCCTCTACATTAGTTTCATCTTTCATGGCCCAGTGGCACAGGCACTTGTTTCGGTAATAATTTTTTTCCCTATATTATTAAACTATGGGTTAAAACTTTATTACCGAAACAAGTGCCTGTGCCCAGTGGATCTTGAAAAGAAGATTTTTAAAGATTTTCCCTATGTATTCCTATGTTAAACTTTGATCCCCCCCCCCCATTGTGGCCCCACCCTGCCCCTGGAGGTCATGATTTGAATAAATTTGAATCTGCACTACCTGAGAATGCTTCCACATGAGTTTCAGCTTTCCTGGCCCAGTGGTTCTTGAGAAGAAGATTTTCAAAACATGCCATTACTTTTTCACTAATTCATAATTGTCTCCCCTTGGAAGGGGGCATGGCCCTTCATTTGAACAAACTTGAATCCCCTTCACCCAAGGACACTTTGTGGCAAGTTTGGTTGAAATTGGCCCAGTTGTTCTTGAGAAGAAGATGAAAATGTGAAAAAGTTTACAACGACGCCGACGACGCAGACAACAACAGACAACGGGAAAATTTTGATCAGAATAGCTCACTTGAGCCTTCGGCTCAGGTGAGCTAAAAAAACCTATATGTTTCTTTTGCCGTAGTACATTTTCCCAAATGTTTAATATAAAATGCTTCTGGCCTTTTGCAAATTAAGAATTCTTCATAAGGCAAATATAATTCAATTGTTACATTAAATTCCTAATTTGATTTCAGTTATAACTCTACATAAAAGGACTTTACAATACACTTCACCCATTTTTCAGTACGAGTGAAAAATTATTGAAAGGGACGTTAAACAAACATTTTTTGCACTCGATACTGTATCCATCAAGACCACTATTTTCATTTTTATAACTTCGTTTTTAATTTCAATGCTTTCCATTAGATACATTATAGATATTGGTATAATATTAAACCGAGGACAGATTGTTTTGCAGTCCGAGAACTCAAAGGAAGTACACTGGATGTGTCTGATTAACGGGATCATGTCGGTTAGTTGTATCGATTACTCGAGTACAAAACTACAAAATACCTAGACGATGACGGTGTAATGGGTAGGCCTATAATATAATTTGTAGTTTTGTACTCTGTATCTGAATGAATTTCAATGCACTGGAACCATTAAAAATAAACAAGATAAAAATCTTAGAATAGCGCAGTTAACTGAGTATGTTTGTCATTCTGTCTGTGCGTAACACTCGATTTCAAAAATACCCCAAAAAGATTTTTAGCTTTGTAATGAACAATGAACTAGATGATGCCTGAGGGACACAGCGCTCATTTGAGTCACGTTTGCCCTGCAGTTCTGCAGCGTCAAATTTTGTTTACAATATATACATGTATTCCTGTGTAAAATACGGTATTGATCGCCTTTTGTAGTCAAATGCTATAAACAGTAGCCGTGCTTCTAACAAATATGAATCTACACTACCAAAGAATGCTTCCACATTTAAAATATGATTCACAATGGTTTTCCTGTTCGTGAGAGAAAAAATTATATATACATGTAATCCCTATTGTTGCCTCACCTTACCCTTGGGAATTATTACCTGAACAATTTACAAGTTATACTTACTCAGTGACCTTTCATGTTAGTTATTTTCTTTTATTTTTGATTCCAGAATTTATGCGCGCACGGTTCATTGTTATGTCTTTGTATAAAACATTCAGCATAATATAATAAATATTGCATGGAGTTGAGTGTAACATATTGAAAAAAACGTTATTTGGTAATAACCAATATTTGTCCCCCAAAATCTTTAAACGGAGAAATATTTAATATGTTTTTAAACAGGGGGATATATGCTGACTTCAAAGCACTGAATATTTTCATATGCAATGACGTCATATGATTGAAATGACGTCACGAAGATGACGTAAATTTAAAATTTCCATGATTTCTACAGAAAAATGTATATATTACGTCGGTATTTTGAGTAAAAGTCACCGAGCGCAGGTCTGATCCCGCTCAATATCTTGATATAATGTGTTGAATGATAATATCAATGAAATATGTAAATAAACAGTATAGTTCCTGAGCAAACTTGCGCTCTATAAATTTTAAAGCTAAAATTGTTGTAATTTTGTCCATTTTGTCCTCTTTCTTAAAAATGATATAAAATCGGACTAGTTTGTGACATCATAAAAACAAAAATTGTCAATAACTACTTTCAAACTATAATATGTTCTGTTAATTTATATTTCTCATACAATTTATAGACTTCAGCACATTTCAAGAATTTTCAAAATTTGACTTTTGTGGGGGCAACGATATGCAATATACCGCATATAGTTCTTTTCACCCCTCGAAAACCATTGTCAACCTCGGCTGCGCCTCGGTTGACAATGGTTTTCTTGGGATGCAAATTTTCAGTGTTACACTCAACTACATGCAATATTTATATAATTGATAATGAACATAAAAGTCGCAAATGAAACTTTTTAGATATTCTCTTTATACTTTCTCCTAATGATTGTTACAAGTTTAAATTTGTTTTCCATTTTTCAGCAGATATTCATCAATTTGTTATCTTGTAAAAAGTTGCTGCATGAACTGCTCCCAAATGTGGGTGTGCATAAGCTATAGAAGCAAAAAGCATTGAATTTCCGGATAAAAATTACAGTGCCTAAAATAACTTTTAATATATTTTACAAGTTTTTAAGAGGAAGTTAATTTTGAAAACATTAATAATTACAGATGCAAAGGACACTATCCATATGTTTATAATTTTTTTTTTGTTCACACTGGAAATTAAAGTATAAAAAAATGTAGCATGCTTGGTAATGTAATTTTTGTTTTTTGATTTTTTTCCTCGGAATTTACTTTTGCAAAAATTCCATAAAATGCTAAAATGATACGTGTTTGCGGCCAATTTGATGCTTTGTATCAATTTATCTTGTAACAATTTAAATTACAATTCCCTTTATCAAGGGATACATTGGACTAACTTTGATTAAAATTGGCCTATTTGCTCTTGAGAAGAATTTGAAAATGTGAAAAGTTTACAGAGAGATGGACAGATGCTGGACAATGGGTGATCATGTGAGCTTATAATTCCATGTGGTTGAATTAAAGATGAACAAAATTTTTTACCTTCAGTTTGAAGTCCAAATCTTAATCAATTTATCTTTTCACCAGCGCCCCAAATTAGCATTTCGGGCGCCCCAAAGCTTAAATTAACTAGTAAAGAACCAAACTTGTGTCTTTGATGCGTGTTTTAGATTAAAAAAATATTTTATAATTCACGAGCGTCCCGAATTATATTTATCAGTTGTTAATCACGAGTGCTTCAAGTTTTACGATGTATAATAACGAACGCCCCAAGAAATGTAAACTAGCATTATATTAAGATAAATGTAAACATATTGAACAAATGGAATTCATCATATTTATAATTGCATTCCCGAACCGTAATTTATTCTGATTTTTTAGGTTTTTAGGTTCAAAATCGCAGTTTATCCTTTGTATAGTGCACGTACCGCGCGTTTTCGTTGCCTCTTGTGTACCTGATTATTATGTAATGCTACATAATATTACACACCTTTTACTAGATCAGTGGGATTTGTAGTCTGTGTATACACAGTAATCATAATTTCAGACACACGTACAGTTCAACAAACATACGCCGTAATTCTGGTCCTTCGACGACTTATACCACTTTTCCATTTGAATTATATATCGAACATGCACAGACGGATCATGCATGTAAATTAAAATGAATACATCTAGAAATTAATAACAAAAATAAATACACTAACGCATTTTAAGCACTTATCTGCATTTCCACAAAGGAAAAGAAATACTGTACGTCATAGTCTCCATGACGCAGATTTAGTCAAGCAACTATCACAATTTGTCAGTAAGACTTTATTTAAAATGTTTTATTTCCCCCAATATTATCTTGCTTTATCGCTAAATTAATTCAAATTTCTTGATATAGCCGGCATTTGATAAAATTTTGTTGCCTTTTATTTGATTATGGACTTTAATACAATTAAATGACTGAAAGTGTATTATTATCTTTAATTACGCGAATAAAACTTGATAATTTAAAAGAATATCTCACCAGATTTCTTTGAAGGAAAAGTAAACAAATTAATATGTATAGACGAGCACCTGCATGTGTATCTGTGACCAAATTATTTGGGGCGCTCGAACTGCTAATAAACTTTTAAGTTTGGGCGAAGGTAACAAATTTTATTCTAATCATAAAAGAAGTAACCCATGTGAGCTTATAACTCCATGTGGTTAAATTAAAGATGAACTTATCAGTTTGAAGTCCATACAATTTATCTTGTAAGAAAGTGTCCTGCAAAATGACTTAGCATTTTTAAATACACTGTATCTACAACAATACTGTGTGCTATATGTTAAAACCAGTAATCCAATATGTAAAATATACTCATGACAAATGTTAGCAAAGAACTAGAGTGCAATTAATTTAGATTTGGAAAGAATCTGGGCTCTCCAGCTGTGATCAGCTATTAAACCAAATCATCTGCCTGAAAGGGCATTTAAACTATTATAAATGATTTGTATGCAGGACTCCTCTTGAAAAATCAAGAACACTGTCATTTACAATGTATTTCACATACAGTGTACAGTACTCATAACAAATATCTTAACAAAAGTGATAATTTGTATACTCAGTATCATAATAAATACACAAATATTAACAATAGAAGAATAATGGTAGCGGAAAATAAGGTGCCACAAAAATTAAGAGATCCACAGTATTTGACATCTATGAGAGTTGTCTATCAAGTTTAAGGACAAAAGAGTTTTTGCCAATTTGAATGGACCTAGATAGTCATAACAGTATGGCTTTAATTTTTTAAATTTTTTGTAAATAATTTATAGGATGTAGATAGTGAGCACAATCCAGGGTTGAATATTTATAAAATTTTAAGTTTTGGATGAAATGATTATTCTAATCATAAAAGAAGTCAAAGTTTAAAATTGAAACTTTGAACTGATATTCCTTCACTTAATCAGAGTCTATTTTCAAAATTATTATACATGTACAGGTCACTGTACAGATATTTCAGCATTTGTCTACTAACTTTATAGACAACCCTCATGTATGCCATTGTTTGTCACGGGAGAGCGAGATTATAAATGTTTGTGAAATTAAAAAAATAATAAACAACATAACAAAGATTCATTAATCACATTAAATATACATTGTTTACATCAATTAAAAAAAGAGTATCTTCAACACTAGCATGTTATTGAAATACATACACATGTAGCAGATATGCTGCTGAATGTTTGTCACAATACTGTCAACAGAGAAAATGAAACATGATCTGAGATGTATTACGAAAATTATATACACAGTTTATACAGTAATACTATATATATAAACTTTTAGTTTTTGTGCAATTAAATTTTTTCTCAAAGCTAACATAATTTACAATAAAATACATTTATAACCAAGTATAAGTACACATACCTAATATTACACTAAATGTACATATGCACAAAATGGATAACAGACTTTTAAAAACATCCATGGTTATTTCCTTAAAAATATCTGAAAAGTAAGTCAATTCATAACAATGCAAATGTATGTTTGTATCAAATCTGGATGTATTTCTCTCTGAAACAATCCATCTTAATCTTGAGTGGACGATTAAGATATAGAAATTGCACTGTATATTCATCCAGTTGAAGGATTTAGTAATATCTGAATTATTACTACCAGAGCATTCTCAATCTTTATACAAGTACATCGTTAATTGAAAAGATTTCCACTAAATTGTTATATATATTCTGTATATACAGTTGTAAACAACTTGTGATTTACAATAGACTCTGTTCATGATATAGAAAATATGTTTTAGAATCTTTACTTTTTAGACTATGGTAACATAGTGTCTTTTCCACAAACAAATCAAAAAATAGTACCAATGATCTGATTAGATATAAAACTATACATGTAATTTGTATCTAAGGATTAAAGAGTGTTGACTCCCAAAACATGATATAATGTTTAACATTAATTATCCGTTTTTTTTCAGCCTTGATTCAAGAATCTCTGAACAAGTTTTAAGCCTTGAGTCAAGAGACCCATGCCATGTAGAAATCCATGTCAAATGACTTCAGAATATACTCCTACTGTCACTGTCAAATAAAGGAGCCATTTAAATCAGTAACAGCCCACTTAATGTCTCAGCTGATGGCACCATCCTCATCCTCCATGTTATCTATCTCTGAGGTGGGGGAGGGGCCGTCATCAAATCCCCCCGTCATGTTGAAGGGGGACATGTTACTTGTGTTGTCATTATCATTTCCCGAGAAAAACTCAGTCTCCGTGTCTGCTGAGGAGGATTTCTGAAGCATAAAAGCAAGTGGTTCTATAACTTCTATGTTAAAGTGCAACCTGCATCATTGCTAGAAAACTGTATACAGTAAACCTCAGTTAGAACGAACACAGATATTGTGAATTCACAGATATAGCTAAGTTATCTTGGACCCACACCTATATAAATTCATCGAATTTTTTATACGGATATAACAAATTACAGATATATCAAAGTAATTTCAAAGGTCCCAGTGACTTCATTATAAGCGAGTTTTACTGTATATATATATATATGTATAAAATTGACGTGGACCTTTTTTCCTTCATTTTATTAAGATGCTGATTTGTGTTTAGCTATATGTCTGTTAAAATAAAATCATTTTAAATTCCAATACTCTCTTTTTTTCATGAATAGACCCTGCAAGTTTATTACAAATATGAAATATGCCTTCAAATGTGTTCAAAGCTTTCATGAGTGACTGTGACGGTGCACACAATGTTCCTTCATCTTGTTCATTACCCTGTTTTCTTGAGAGAAAAATTACCTCATCTTTATCAGGATCCTGGTCCTCAGTTTTAGGACTGACAAACGAGGAGAATGGAATCTTCTGGGCATTGTCCTCATCTTCCTCCTCCTGAAATGTACAGCTTATTGTCAACTTTCTTTTACGTTTAACTTAACTTTCAAATCTGAGTTGTCAACATTCAATAGTTTGTTGCATATAAAATTTGCTGAAATTACAAGCTTATATTGTAACACAGAAAAAAATCTTGAGAAAACATGACCTTTCTCAATGTCAACCCCACACATAGAGATTATTTGATTTTGAACATTAACAAAGATAAGCACATTGCGATAGACACACCTTGACTGTCAACAGAAATTTAACAAAGACAATATCATTTAACACACACCTGTCCTGATGTCCTAATGTCGCTGGGTGTGTTGGACCTGCTGCGACTTTTAGGTTTACTTGTGTCTGTTCTTAGGGCAGCCATCTGAATTTTGATTTTGTCGATCATCCACTGTGGAACAGAGAAGCCCTTCAGACTGTTCACATGTACACTAGGATTGTCTCTGTCATGGAAAATCATCATTTATACCAAACCGTCAACTTCAACTTACATGTAGTTCAAAATCTTCAGAAAGTGCAGTACATTTTTGTTCATAGAAGGAGCCAATATTGAATATTTAATTAGTGCATATTGAAAATTTTTGCAACTTGGCATGAAATTTTTTTTACTATAAAATTTATTGCCAAAAAATTCAACAAAATGGTAATGTCAAGAACATTTAATAAAGATCATTCCCTACTTATAATCATCCTCCAGGGCCAGGTCTTGGATATCTTCCAGTATCAACATGTACGTCTTCCCTCCAGTGGCGGGCATGTGTTGATTCTCATACAACCACACCTTATCATCCTGGTCACCAGAGTACTGAAAAGTTAAAGCCAAGAGAACTTTTGATTTCAGAAACTGAACAGAATTCTCTGGTATGTTGGATGCACACCATTTCTAGCATTTGTAAGTCTTTTAAAATAGACATTTATTTAAACTAAATGTGTGTACCTGTACTTGGAAAAAATGAATCTTACCTTGAAAGTCTCAGGATGTTTGATATAGATTCTTCCTCTTGTTGCCCCCAAACCAAGTGCCCTAAAAGGAAATAATTTGAATTTTTTATTGTTAATATCTAATACATCTATAATTCAAGTACATGTAATGGCTATCCTGATTTAGATCACAAAAGATTTATGAAAAGAAACATGCCACACATAGCACAGTTGACTATTTGCCTAACTTTTTACCTACCATACTTTTGTACTGGTAGTAAAAGATTCAATTAAAGGTAAATGTATGTTATCTCAAAAAAAAAAAACTCACTTATTTGCCTTGGCACCCATTACAAAGAGAGTTTCAGTAGTTAGCCTTTCACAGTCCCACTGAAAGAAAAATATATCTATGTAATATACTAGTACTTGTAAATAAAGACTTCATATCATCTTCTATTTCTAGTTCCAACAATTATTTGAAGTTAGTCATTAATTTCAAAACAATCTGTTTGACTATTTTTTTTGTCATTAATTGTAATTAATCAGAATGTTCTGTTTAAACATTAGGACGACTTCTATCATATACAATGTAAATTTGAAGAATGTTCACCTTTGGTCCTTCTCGTTTAATGGGATCATTTGTTTTTACTGTTTTAGAGGGAGTACTCCTTCTGTTGAATAAAGCAAACATGAAATCAATGTAAATTACAATTTAAGACCACATATGATTAGTCCAGGGATTAATTTAATTGAACTGTTGAAAATGCTTTCAAGGTCTGAAAATGCAAGCTTCATGATGTAAACCACTTTCTTACTTTTTAACACTTGGATCATTACATTTAATGTTGTCATTTATTTTTAGAACTTACCCTGAGACATATAATGGTGGCCGCCCCTTCTTCTACAACGAAAATTATCAAAACTTAGAATTCACTGTACAAGTAACTCTCAAAATTTACCTTTTGTGAAAAACATGTTTGATGATTTTATTTTTACTTAGACTAGTTTTGCCTTTGATTAAGCCCTCTATCTAAAGCTTTGTACAAATATTTTCCTGATTATTAACTATGTAAAGCAGCTGTTACCTTTCTAGGGACTGGGAGAACACTCTTCTCTGAATCTGTATCAGATCCTCGTCTTTTCCGAGAGATAATCTGAAACAACAGCAAAATCATTATTCCTCATTTAAAATACTGAAACTGATAAACAATGTGGGAAATAATTTACCAATTTATAAAATCTGGCCCCAGGATCATGAAATGATGTCTGAAAGATGTTTACTGTCAACTTAAACACTAAAATTTCAAATAGCATTTCTTTGGTAATGTAATATTGAATAATGTTTTCATTTCTGACAGTTTGACTTCTTCATCATAACAGAAAGCATCCAGACTTGCACTTAAACTCAAAATGTTTCATGACCCTGTGGCCTTTACTGTGAATGCTTAATCTGTAACTGAATTACGTATTCTTTAATAATTTGATACAGCTGTAGTATTGAGAGAGTTACCCACCCTTCTACTTCCTGTGCTGCCTGTTTCTGAGACAGTGTCTGAGATTTCTGGTCTGGTGGGAGTGAAACTTTGATCAGTACAGTACATTTTCTTGGCCTAAAAGTAGAAAAGAACTACTTGATCTGCACGATACATTTCCTAAGTCTAAAATTCAAAGATAATACAGTGGACCTTCAGATATCTGGACGCCAGATATCCAGATGCTTCAGTATCCGGACGACTTTTCATCTGAACAGAATTTTTAAACATAATCTTGTCTTCTTTAACTGGTGATTCAGGTATCCGGACGCGTCACATATCCAGACAAATTGACTGGGAACCAAAGTGTCCAGATAAATGAGGCTCCACTGCAATTTTTACATACATGTATATAAAAATCTATCCATAGAAAGTCTTAACCCTAATAAACTGGTTCACTTATAACATGAGCATGACCATCACTTAATTATCTAGATTTACATACCTCCTCTAAGATTTGTCTACAGACTGCCTGTACATGTTCCTCATTGACAGAATTCTCCCCATTGTTAAGCTTTATATTTCTTATCCCAGGGTTGAAAAATTTCTACAAAGATAGGATAAATGTACAATAATGAGAGGCTCATGGGCCTTGATGGTCACCTGAGAATCATGATATTTTCATGTAAGTGTTTATAAAATTGTTACATGCTTATGAGAAAAGAAAAGGGTTTTTCTTAAAATCTGCTGGCTTTCCATGCAAAAAAGTTCAAATTTTTTTAAGGTATTCCAGAAGAAGTTAAAGATATTCAATTAATAATTTACAATAGCATAGAACTAAGCATGATGCACAACAACAAAGACCAATCATGATATATCAGTTATCATGAGTAACTCAGGTGACCTGAAAAGAAATGAATTATCTATGATTGCAGTTTTGAAATTATCAAATTCATATTTCAACAGATAAAATCTGACCTCCATGTAATCTTGAATGATGACATCAATTTCTTTGTTGATGAATTTCTGTAAGTTTTGTCTCAAGATATCCAGAGATTTTGCAGTGCTTGTAATGAGCCCAGCCCTGTAATATTCAATAAAGGTAAGTACATGTACCCAGAACTCAAAATGTTAAGCTACTGACATGTTTACAATCCTAAGCCTCCTTACTTTGCCCTGTGAACAGCTACACTATGGGCCCGGTATGTTGATCTGTTGATGGAACTTGTAGGGAGATTAGCTATGTTCTGTAACCTTTTACTGAATGGAGCTTCCTGAAATGGGAAAAAAATAATCACAGTGCTACAAAGTACATGAGCATTTCCAATATGGGAAATGCTGATTGATACCTTTGTACATTTCAAGTCTAAAAGCACAAACACAAATCAAGATTTTTTCACAATCCATTCCTTACATCACACCAAATGACACACTTACCATTTCCACCATCTCTGCATTGGGGTCCCGATCTTCAGACTTAATTGGGTCAATAGGGGTCAACCTGGGCATTTCGTCAGGACTCCCCCTCTTTACCTCGGGTCTGACTGGGGGTAAACTCCTCCGTTCCTGGTCGAGCTGGGGCAGGTGTTTGGCTTCTGTGTCCTTGTACTGGGAGAAGGCATGGGGATTCACTTGAGAAAATGATGTTGGCATTTGTGGAGGAAATGTAAAAGGGTTTCTCTGCAACTTTGAATGAGAAAGAAATATAGTTAACATCACACAATGGTTTTGTATATCTACATTTTATAGATAAAATGTAAGAAAATTTTCTTTTACTAATTCATTTGCTTTTCATTAATTCTATCCATATCAATTTTCATTCCTGCAAAAAAACACAATAAAACATACCTGTTGAGGCTGCATTTGAGCAGGGTTTGGAGGTGCTTGTTCTCTCTGCTTGTTGTCAGGGGAGATATGTGGTTCATATCCCTGAGACAGCTGTGTCTGATATACAGGGTTCTGTCTCTGTGTCCCAGACACATCCGGAGGTCTTGCAGAAACTTGTGTCACAGAATGAGAACTCACAGAAACACCACTCACTGGAACATCCTGTAAGCGAACCAAGTTCACAAAAGGCTGTCGAATAGGAACAGATGTGTTTCCAATGCTCACTGTAGATGGGGGCAGCTGAGGCCTGGGATTAGTTAGGGCGGCCATTGATTCCTTGTGCCTGTGCTGGGGTTTTGGGGAGGGTGTCCTCCTGGGGACACTGATCCCACTGGCACCCACTTGGCTGACCGAGTCCCTCCCTCCTGGGCCACCAGATACCACTCTGATTTGTCCTGGTGAGTGTGAGGGGCTGGGGTATCTTTGTTGGGGATTCTGATGCGGGGATGCCCGCCTGGGGTTTGGTGAAACCTGTCTTTGAGGGGGTGAGGACAGCCCCTGCTGGGGGGATGTGTACCTGTCATGAGGGGGTATGTGTCTGTGTTGAGGAGATGGATGTCTTTGTTGATGAGGGGATATGCGGCCCATATCAACACGAGTAGGGGGAATTGGACTGGGGGTTCTCCTAGAAATGTGACCCCCTACTGTGTCTTTGTGATGTGGACTCACTGACTGCTCCTGCAATTTTGAGAGAGTACATTAAGACGGATAAAGGTGTGATGTACCCATGTTTTATAAACATGTACTGGATAAAACAGCAATGCTGATGAAGTATGATACCTCAGAACATATCTCATGAATAACACACTTAGTACATAAAATATTTAAACATTCTATAAATAAAATATCTACACATGATCAAACCAAACTTTGAATGCTTGAACAATAAATAACATATACATAACTTGGGATAAATAGACAATGTTATGTTCTATTTTCACTTTGCAAAGCAGTATCCATTGACATACAATTACCAGTCAATTGCCAGTGACTCAGCTTCTTGGCTGATTCACACTTTGACATAAAACCAAATGTGGCAAACCATTATTATAACTTTAAATGGACAAACCATTATCATAACTTTAAATGGAAAAATGTGCATCCTCAAATTTTAGAAATAGCACACTATAAATGGGATATGATATAAATATATTACTCTGTGTGGAGACTTCTGGAAAAGGTTACTGCCCTGGACATGAGGAGGCAGGGCACCTGTCATTAGTGCATGCTTCAGCAAATCGCCCTGGGTCTGAGCAAATATCATCATATCTTTGCCCTACAAATGGTTTATTTTTATTTCAATCACTATGGCTTAAAGTTTATAGTATAGTTTTAGCTCTGATACATTTCTACACACCATTGAATTAAGATTCATAAATTAGGAAACAATGTCATGCCAGCAAAACGATTTTTTGGGGTAAAAATATCTGTAAAATACATGTACAATTAAATGCTATAATAAAACGCAACAATACTCTTTTGACACAAACTTACAGAGGTACTTTCCTCCTCTGAGCTGGCTATTCTGTGTACAGGCCCTGAGTATATTGTCCCTGCCTGGCTCTTGGTCATCCTTGCTGTGGCCAGTGTCTCCCTGATCTCTGACACAGATAAATTCACAGGCTGTGTCGTCCTGTCACCTGATGGCCCGGGTGATCTTCGTTGTCCAGCGGAAGGAGCCGGGGATATTCTGCCAACTTGTATGTGAGCTGGAGAAGGAGTTCTTCTTATTGTAGAAACCTGTAAAATTGAATTCAATATATCTAGATGTAGTTTCCTGTAGCTGAAGTTTGAAGCACAACAGAAAAATTCAGTTGATAATATAAATATATGGAATACTCATGTTATCATCCAGTGCAAGTATTTGTTTTTTTGAGAAGGAAAAATCAGCCCAAGTTACCTGCTGAGGAGGACCTGGAGAAAACCTCTCCACTGAGTGAGCTGATGGTATATCTTTACTGACACCACTTTGTCGACCAGCCTCTGTCATCTTGCTGTGCTGTTCAATCAGTCCTTGAACTGATGAAGCTATACTTGATGCAGGTCCTTGTTGATATTGTCTAAACACATTTTCATGACTCTGTGTTTCTGGGTAGTGAGATATTTTTTGGAAAAGCTGTTGTCGCAGCATTCCATTTCCCTCTGCATTGGGAGGAGTGATATGCCTCTGTAGAACAATTCTCTCCCCTCCATGTTTGCCCACAGGCCCAAGCTCCCTGATAACCTGCTGTTGGGGGGCTGGTCTGGGAAGAGGTACACTGGGTCTGTGTGGGTTATGTACCCCCTGAAGGACCCACTGAGGCTGTTGAGGTTGAATTGGCCTTTGGACTACCCTCCCTGGACCTTGAGGTCTGGATGGAGAGATGCTTCTGTGGTACGAGCTGTGGTCATCTCTACCACTGACCGCATGGACTGGAGCCACACTTCCATGCTGAATAGTTGATAGAGGCACACTGATGCCTTGAATGTTTGATGCCACATTTTGTGCCATTTTTGACTGCATTTCTTGATCATTTAGTTTCCTTTCTGCCACTGTAGGCACTCTGGCTTGCTCCAAGGTGCTTCCTCTTGGAACATTATCACCAGCCACTTTCCTAGATTTGGGGTCAGGAGACTTCTTCTGTGGTTCTTTCTTAGCTACAAAATGTAACATCTAGATGAGATTTACCCAAAACAAGTTCTTATTTTAAATTAATCAAAATAACTGAAGCTTTTAAAAGAAATAAGGTTATATGCCTATTAATTTACTGTACACAACAATATACCTATTGCTTGGTGTGTTTTATTGTACTCACCTTCGCCTCTCTTTTTCCTCTCCTTTTTTGGAGGAGTTTTTCCTGTTCCAGAATCATCCCCAGAATGCATGTTTCTCACTTCTAAAAATAAAATTCATTGTTCATTCAATTAGTACGTATATGGTTTTGAAAATTTGGGATGAATTTTGCTTATTTCCTGAGAGAAAATATCACTCCATATTTATATACAGGTCTAGCTGTAGTACTGTAGTGTTATGGTTTTATATATATATCAGTCTTTGACCATAATGCCACAGATCCTGTAATGCCAAAAATGTGCAATTAATGGCACAAGATTGTTTTGCTTTCTGTTGGTGATAATTTCTCCACTATCCAGCATTGGTCAATCAGTTACCTTTTACTCCCTAGTTCTATCAATACATTCTTTAACCAATCTGTATATTTTATCTGTAGACAGACATCTCGGCCCAACGATACCTTAGCCGGTGACAGTTGACACCTTGGCCTTGACAGGTCGGCCCAAAATTATTGACATGTCGGCCCATATAAAAGACGACCCTGGCCCAAGCAAAATTTTGTGATAGAAAAAATAATTTACCTTATTTAAACAAGAGGCCCAGGGGCCACAGCGCTCACCTGAGCACATCGGGCTTGAATTTACCCCCCGCCCCTCCAGGCGTTCATCATTTGAACAAACTAGAATCTACACTACCTGAGGATGATTCCATATAAATATCACTAATCATAGCTTTGAAGTACTTGAAAAGTAGATTTTAAAAGGTTTCCCTATATATCCCTATGTAAAACTTGGGTCGGCCATTTTGGCCCCAGTCTAGCCCCGGGGGTCATGATTTGAACAAACTCTCTCCTGAGGATGATCCCACATGAATCTTTCCTGGCCCAGTGGTTCTGGAGAAGAGGATTTTTAAAGATTTTTCCTATATATTTTTATGTAAAACTTGGGTCGGCCATTTTGGCCCCACCCTTGCCCCGGGGGTCATGATTTGAACAAATTTGAATCTACGCTACCTGAAGATGATTCCACATGAGTTTCATCTTTCCTGGCCCAGTGATTCTGGAGAGGAAGATTTTTAAAGATTTTTCCTATATATTCCTATGTAAAATGCCAATTTTGAACAAATTTGAATCTACACTACCTGAGGATGATTCCACATGAATCTTTCCTGGCCCAGTGGTTCTGGAGAAGAAGAAGATTTTTCCTATATATTCCTTGTAAAACATCGGAATGTTTTCATGATGAACAAATTTGAAATGTTGTGGATGATTCCACATATTTATCTTTCCTGGCCCAGTGGTGCTGGAGAAGGAGATTTTTAAAGTTTTTTCTTTTGAACTCCTATGTAAAACTTGGGTCGGCCATTTTGGCCCCACCCTTGCCCCGGGGGTCATGATTTGAACAAACTTAAATCTACACTACCTGATGACCACGTGAACATCTTTCCTGGCCCAGTGGTTCTGGAGAAGAAGATTTTTAAATATATATTCCATGTAAAATTTTGTTTGATTTAGCAATTAACTTATTAAGATGATTACATAATTACAGTGATTATAGAAGATTTTTAAAGATTTTTCCTATATAATGTAAAATATACTTGCCCCGGGGGATGTTTGAACAAACTATAATACCTGAAGATGATTCCACAATTTATCTTTCATGGTCATTTGGAGAAGAAGATTTTTAAAGATTTTTTATATATTTTTTTCAATAAATACTTTGGCCCATTTGGAGAAGAAGTTTTTAAAGATTTTTCCTATATATTCCTATGTAAAACTTGGGTCGGCCATTTTGGCCCCACCCTTGCCCCGGGGGTCATGATTTGAACAAACTTGAATTACACTACCTGAGGATGAACGTGAGTTTCATCTTTCCTGGCCTAGTGGTTCTGGAGAAGAAGATTTTTAAAGATTTTTCCTATATATTCCTATGTAGGTTGGCAGACCGGGGGTCATCTTTGAACAAACTTGAATCTACACTACCTCAGGATGCTTCCACATGAGTTTCATCTTTCCTGGCCCAGCGGTTCTGGAGAAGAAGATTTTTAAAGATTTTTCCTATATATTCTTATGTAAAACATGGGTCGGCCATTTTGGCCCCGCCCTTGCCCCAGGGGTCATGATTTGAACAAACAAGATGTGATTCCACATGAGTTTCATCTTTCCTGGCCCAGTGGTTCTGGAGAAGAAGATTTTTAAAGATTTTTCCTATATATTCCTATGTAAAACTTGGGTCGGCCATTTTGGCCCCACCCTTGCCCCGGGGGTCATGATTTGAACAAACTTGAATCTACACTACCTGAGGATGATTCCACGTTTTATCTTTCCTGGCCTAGTGGTTCTGGAGAAGAAGATTTTTAAAGATTTATATATTTATGTCTGTTGGATTTGCCCCGGGGGTCATGATTTGAACAAACTTGAATCTACAAAACACATGAGTTTCATCTTTCCTGGCCCAGCGGTTCTGGAGAAGAAGATTTTTTAAAAATGCCATTAATTTTTTTCATGTATCCCCTTGGAAAATAAATTGACACTTAAAAGTGTGCCAAGAAATTGGCCGAGTGGCTAAGAAGTCGAAAATGTAAAAAGTTTAAAAGACGGACAGACGGACAGACGGACGCCGGACAAAATGTGATCAGAAAAGCTCACTTGAGCCTTCGGCTCAGGTGAGCTAAAAAAGTTAATTATTCTGTCTAAAATCAGATCGGGAAGGGAGTTATATTACTTTTTGCAGTGTTTTCCCCAGGCCGTTTTTGCATGGAGGTACCGACATGCATTCATGATCTCCCGCAATGCATCACATGTTGCCGCCATGCTTCCTGCTATGCATGAATTATTAATTGGGTACCATTTGATTGTTATGAGTTACAAATCTTTCAATAAAACAAATCAAATCACTAGAATCCTAGTGTGAACTGTACCCATTCTGTGCACTTGTTGTGAACTCGATGCGAATCATGGCACGGGGTATGATGCAATAGGCCTAACTGTCACTTTTTGTTTATTGCAATAATTTACTGGTATGTTACTAAGTATCAGGCTTTTAATTGGTTAAATATTAAACTGATAACCATAAAAAATAATTAATTTCAGTTACTTTCACGGTGTTTTCAATGAAAATGATCACCCTTGGCTCAGAAGTGTAAAAGCAATACACTTGTTAATGCACATGTGGGTTTTTCCAACATTCACAAGTCGTTCTGTAAATAGCATTGTTGCTCCGACATAAAAAATGATTCACTGATTAGTTTAACTCATAATATTTAAGACATTTTTTGCATTAAAGTGCTGAAAATAAACATATGTTATTAACATTATCAATGTTGATTTACTTTATGAACTATGGGGAGGTACTTAGTTCAAATATGTGCTTTTAATACACAATTACCTTCACCTATATTCAAAAGCGGGAAAAATCAAACACCAAATGAGTTGTCACAATATTTACATTGGAGCATTAGTGCTACATATTAATGAGCATCCTTTTTGTTTCAAGACAACTGCAAAAGTTAAGGGACATTAAAAAGAATAATAAAAAGGTGGAGGTCTCTAGGGGTCTATTTGTAGAAAGCAAAAATAACACAATACACAAAACAGTAAAAAGACAGTGGCTTTATAGAAAATTTTAATCTAGTAAATATTTTTTTATTAGTTCTATTTTTATTTTTTTAAAAACTCAATTGTTGAATATTTTTAAGTAAAATTTACAATATGTTCAAAATGTATTTATCATTTAATTAAATCAATGATTTTGTATTTTTTCATTTAAATATACATTTAGTTATATGTACAATTAACTTAACCAACACATGCCGCGCGCCGTCAATTCAGCAAAATTCCCCCCATGCATCAAAAATTTTCTGGGGAAAACACTGCTTTTTGCATCTCTCTCCTGTGTAAATGCGCAATGTAAATGCTGAGAGCAGAGACATGTTATTTATGTCTCTGCTGAGAGCTCAAGAGTAAAAAAAAAATCTATATGAATTTTCTTAATGTATAAAACGGTTGAAACCATTAACTTTCATGAATGTTTTCATAAGAAATGTTGTAGACAATATCTAATGGAGCCTGCTCGAAATTAACCCCTCATCGCCACCAGTATGACATGAACTTGACCACCCTCTAAAGAATGTGCCGCAGTATTTTGTTTGTTTCGCAATTAACTTATCAAACACCTTAATTACATGTATGTTTTCTCATTCCTTGACTAAAATTAATATACTCAGGGATGTTTCTATAATTAAGATAAATTTATTGTCATTTGTTTAATTTTTTCAATAAACTATTTTACGTGACAAATTCTGAAATCGGAAACATGATATATTTCTCGATGAAATTCTGTTTAGGCCGAGTTGTCTTTTAGGTTGGCCGACCTGTCTTTAATCTTAAGCAGACCTGTCTGCGCTGAGGTGTCATTGGGCCGAGATGTCAATGGTCCGAGTCGTCTGAGATTTCTTATCATTTTATCCAAAACAATTGATTTGAGTAAATTCAAAACAGATGAGTTTATCGATTGCATAAATGTTTCATGTGTCAAACTGCTATTTTATATGTGAGTGATTTTTTAATACAAAATCACTGTGATCAATATTAACTTGTAAAGACGATTATTTCATACATTTCATGGTATGTGTGCTAGATGATCAATAAGCTTTAATCATATTACATGCAGTAGCCTATTATTCTGTTTATAAACATATTCAGTTACTTTCAGTTTCAATTGTAAACCGTGGGGAACGTTGGTAGAGCACCTAAGTGGAAAGTTCCAGGTCCAGCCATGAAACAGATTTGGTGCCGTTGACCACCCCTGGACTTGCAGGTGAAAGTCCTGCCAGGGGCAATAAGAACTTGGGTTGTGTCTTCAGGGCGAATTGAATGTAATGGTTACAGTAGATACTGAGTTTATGATTGCCATGCATTTTCTCCTTTCCTGTTACACAATGAATGATTCAAAAGTCTGCAAACAAAGAAGGCAATGGAAAATGTTTGAGAAGTATTAACAATACTGCAAAGCGGTGCAATTTAAAATTCTCAGATTCTAATATGCATATGCAATCAATGTTTTATTTTACCTGCAAAGTGTGATTCGCGTTTCTGTGGTTGAATGACCGCCAATATGAAAAACCAAGAAGACTTCCGAGAAAATACGAAACTACGTGACGAGCTGAATAAACATAGAAGTTCAGTTTCGGAGAAAATAGCACAGTTTTGAAACATCAATGTTTGTTTAAGTAACTTTATGCTGAAGTAAACAAAATTCAAGGCAGCAAAATGCCTATAATTAAACCACAACATGTCGTGTCTTTTAGTAATGCTGAAACGGTAAGTAAAAGAACGAGACTAAAAAGACAATTGTGATGTTAATTGTAAAAATGAATAATAAAAAAAAAAACAGGTATAGTCAATAGGTAAGCAAAAAGAAAAGTAACAGAGCAATTTTACAACTGTAACACATATATGTATAAGTATCTTCTTTTTTTTTTTCATCTGTTCATTCTCTGAATTCCATGATTACCAACACAAAATATGTGAAAACAATTTAAAAAAAAAAAATATTTCCCCTCCTATTTTATGTGAGTGATTTTTTTTTCTATACATATCTTTTGAAACATTTTCGATATTTTAAGAACCATCCTGCAGAGAATTTATTAAAACCAGAGGGAACGTTTAAGTGGAAAGTTCCAGGTGGAAAAGCTGCAACTGTTGTACTTCAGGTATTGGTACAGTATATAACGAGTTTTATGATTTGTTAGTTTGATATCACATGTCCTCATAGTAAATGCAGTTTTCTTTATTATAATCATTAAAAATGGATTCATTTGATGCTTGGTTCATATGCATATTTGGTGGAGGCAGGGAGGAAGGGGGTAAATATCAAACTTGAAAAACATCCATCCTCCAAGGCTGTATGTGGGAGAAGAGGCAGTTATGCAATGCTTAGCCAGAATTTGTTAGTGTGATTGGTCAATCTCTGCCTCTCCTAAGACATAGAATTAGAATATGGACGTAAAGTATTCTTCTTGGAGATTTTAATACAAAAAGATCAAGGAAAAATCTTTTGAGAGCAGACGGAAAATCATAAGCCCCACAACATCAAAGTGGGAAGTGTTAGGGGCCAAGTTAGTTGCAACACAGTTCTGTTACTTAATCAGTACAAGGGACTCATGGTTATTGTGACACTTTGACAAGAAATGCTTAATTACTCTAGGCAAATGATCCTACCTTTGATATTTTCAGGGGTCTTCAGTTTCTCATTTTTCTCAAGTTGTTTTATTTATAAGGATTTATTAGATTGATGTTTGATCATTATTTTTACTTTTTTCACTTCATAGTTTGAGAAAGCAACAGAAATACATTCCATTGACATTGGCAATGAAGGTTCAGCATTTGTTGAAGTTCTTGCTGGAAAATCAACATCAGATTCAGACCAAAATTATGAGGTAATCTGATTAGATAATAATAAGATTTATTTCAACTTTCTACATTTTACAAGAGACTGCAGTTTATGTATATTTAGATTTATTCCCATTTTCTACCAAACAAGCAAAATTTTTGTGGCAGTAGTATAATACACTCTGTAGAATAGTTCTCTGATTTCCTTCTACAAAATTGTGTGTGTAAACAGAGTTGTTCCCCTTTATGCAGTTAAAAAATATTTAAATATGAAATGGTTTTACTGTAGTTATTTCCCCTCTGAATGTTTAAGAATGGACATATTTATATTTTTTTATTGTTTTATGACAGGTTTTACTGGTGGCCTCCTCTTTTATGACTCCAGTGGAGAGTAGAAATGGAACAAACAGAAACAGTGTCAGAATGTTTGGGCAAGACAAACTCAACAAAGCAGTGGCTAGCCAGAAATGGGACAGGGTTAAAATTGTCTGCACTCAACCCTTTAACAAGGCATGATTTCTGGTTAATTTAAATCTAACATTCAGTTTTATATTGAAACATATTTAGTACAATGCTTGAAAATTCGATATAAACTAATTAATTCAATGCAAGTTGTGTATTCACAATGCAAAAAAATAAAATTTGAAATTATTGAAAAGGGAAAATAAGAATCAAATGTTTGATGAAAAACTGACTAACTTTTGCTGTAATTCAGCAAGTTCAATTAAATTAGACACTGAGTATTTCATATCACTATATGTATCTTGTTGATTGGTCAGCCAGACTTATAGTAAGTTTTGTTATACATGTGTGTTATTTCAGACTGCCAGTTATGGTTTATCCTTCGTCACTTTCCACTCTCCACCAGAAGCCCAGGAACAGAAAGAAAAAGAGGTTTGGAGGATTTTAATGAATTATCTCATGAGATAACTGTCATACACAAGCACAGTGAAAAAAAAATTATTTTAAGTTACCAATTAATAAGAATTTCATTTCCACGTGGTTTATCATAGAGGCCAAAATGTTGCTATTGCACCTTTCATCTTTTTTTAGAAGAGTATGCCAGATGCAGACTGTTGTGATTTTCTGAATATTGTTGTGCATTTTACAGCATTTTTAGGTCACCTGAGTAAACTCAGGTGACCTATTGCTATCCGTTTTCGTCCGTCGTCTGTCGTCCGTCGTCCGTCGTGTGTCGTGTGTTAACATTTGAACATTTTCAGCTTTTCTCTGCAACCACTGAACCAATTTCAACAAATTTGGCACAAAGCATCTATAAGGCCTAGAGTTATCAAACCTTGACATCAAGCAGTCAAACTGTTTGCATTATTGTAATCAGCATTGAGTCCTCTTCCAAAATTGTGAAATTCACGGCCCTGGGTTCAGGGGTTCTAGTGCTAGGGCAGGGCTATATAAATTATATAGCGAAAATGCATTATTTCTTTGAAAATCTTCTTCTCTGCTCCTATTAAATAAACCAAAAGATAGTTATATAGCCACCAAAATTGTGAAAAAGGGGTTCTGGTGTTAGGGTTTGGCTCTATTGATTATATAGTAAAAATACATGATTTCTTTGAAAATCTTCTTCTCTGCCCCTGGGTATTAAATAAACCAAGTAAGTAAATAGTTATACAAGAGTGCCTCTACCAAAAAATTTTATGGCCCCAGGTGTGTCAGGGGCCTATTTCAAGGTCACTGTGAACTTTAATTTAAGTGATCTTTTTTTTTTAAAAAAAAATCGTAAAGCTAAAAATAAAGCTTTAAAATTTTAAAATTTCAAAATCCATAAAACAAAATGTAAAAATATCTTTTTATTTTCCTTATTAAAAAATGTTAAATTAAGTTTCCTCCTATATAAAACAATGAGTTTGTTAAATTTATATAGCTGTGACTTACAGCTAATTTCTATTTATTGTAACAGATGTTTATTTATGCTTTGTAAAAGTTATTGTAATGTACAAGTAATCTATCAGTCTGGTATTGTGTTGAAATAATGTATGACTATATGACAGTTTATGGAGGACAAATAAAACATATATTAATACATAGTCTTTATTCATTCAATGCAACAAATGAAAATAAATTATAAGTTACATAAATTTAATGATGTATAGGAGAGAAATTTACTTGCCTAAAATTTATTGTCTGGACTTGACCATGACAAAAAAAATTTTGAACCCCTGGTTCTGGTGTTGGGGCGGGGTATTGATTATATCTGAAATTACATGAATTCTTTGAAAATCTTCTTCTCTGCTTAGGTATTAAATAACCTAACTTGCATAGTTATGATGAGGAGTGCCTCTACAAAAAGAATTTTATGGCCCCAGCATTAATGGTTCCTGGTGGTTTGTTAAAGTGAAAATACATGAATTCTTTGAAAATGGCTTCTCTGCTCCTAGGTATTAAATAAACTAACTAAGTACATAGTTATGATAATGTAAGTGTTTAAAAGAAATTTTTATGTGGTGTGTGTGTGTATGATTATATAGTGAAATTAGTATTTCCTTGAAAATATATCATTAAAACTAAATATAGTTATGTGTTCAGTGTGCCTCAAAAAAAAAAATTATATTTCAATTTTTATATATTTGAAATTACAAATTGAAAATTATCTTCTCTGCTTAGGTATTAAATAAATTTATAGTGCATATTGATGATGAGAATTATTATAATTTTATGTTCTTGGTTTTTTTTATTAAACTGAATTCTTTGAAAATCATTTCCATTAGGTATTAAATAAAATATGCATAGTTAAACAATTTACAAAAATTGTGTTTAAGTAAGCTGCATATGTGAAAATACATAATTCTTTGAAAATCATCTTCTCTGCTGCTAGGTATTAAATAAACTAAGTAACACAACCAGTTTTGAATGATATGATGTATATATGTTATAATCTTTGAAAATTTTCTTCTCTGTCACTGTAAGTCTCTATATAGATGTATGATAAGAAATGGAAATTAGATCAGGGGGGGAGGGGGCTGACTTAATACTGAAAATGAATTAATTGTTTGAAATCAAGGCTTTGTTTTTATAAAACATTTATTTATTTTTTGATAGGCAATCCTAATCTTTTAAAAATTTATGAGGTTTATGTTGAACAATATTTGACGATTAGGCGTGCATCATGCTGTGGTATTCAGTAACCAAGGGCAACTTTAGTTTTTTTATGATGATCAATGGTGCCCTTTCAAAATTGTGAATGCCATAATGATGCAAACTGAATCAAATTGATTTAACTGGAAAGTTTTTGTTGTGCATTTTTAGTACAAGCATGCCTTAGTTTGATAATTTTATCTTTCTTTGTAATCAGAGTGGTTCCAAAAAGATTGGTGCATTCACTCTCAAACCAGAAAGTGAAGATCCAATAAGCACAGGGTCTGTGTTTGAGAAGAAGAAAACTCACCTTACCGGTAAGAAATAGTTTCACGTTCTCTTACTGTGTCTTTAACTGTTGTTATTATTTCCTAAAAAATAACAAAAAATAAAAATATGTTTTTAAATATTAGGGGCAGCAGCAGTCCGTGCAGCCTCAAAATTAGCAGAAGAATCTAGAGGGGCTCCAATCAAACACGAGGAGAGCAAACCAGTGCAGAAAGCAGCCACACCATCAGAAAAACCCAGTACTGTAAGTCAGCCATCATTCACTTATTTTGAAATACTTAAGGTATACATTCCTTATTTTATTTACATTTTACAGATTGGATGCACAAGTTGTTTTGCTATAAAAGAATATGTGATTTAAATATGTCATGTGCCAACCCGTTTTACATCCCAATAAAACTCAAAAAATGATACCTTATTACTTATATTTACATTTGTTACTGATTTATTAAAAATAGTAACTAAAGGCACTGAAGTTTTTAAAAATGCATAAGAGATTTACATTTTTTCAAAAATCAACGGTATAATTTGAATACGTTGAACACGTCATTCACTTATGACGTCACTATGAAATTATGTAATTCGCTTATGACTAAACAATCAATTTATGTCCATGATGAACATGTTTTACCGAGATGTAAAAACACCTTGTTCAAATAGTGTTATATAAGGGCAAACATTTGCAAATGTAAATATATGTATATAAAATACAATAAACTATGCTAAACCATTCCTGTTTCTCCCTAAAAAATAACAAAAAATAAAAACAAGCTCTCCCATGCTATAAAGTAATACAGTCAACCAGTATCAGCCTTTTATTTACATTTTCAGATTGGATGCACTGCATCATCCCTTAAGAAACATGGGAGTGATGAGATAAAAGCCTCCCATGAAGAAACAGTCAACCAGTATCAGCTCCACTGCATCAAAAGACCAAATTGTGTGTAAGATATAGACTTTCTTTTCAATATGTCTTCAGAAAATGGATGTAATTTTTTTTATAAAAATCAAGCAAAATATTTTAATTTAATTTTTAGAAAATTGTCCAGATATGTACATGTATGTTGCTTTGAATTGTTATCAAATCAGTAAATCTTGGTTTAAAATCTCTGCTACAGTAATTTATACTATATACATGTACATCTACTTTTTGCAGCGGACACATCAGGTCAGGCCAAGCCTTTCCACAAGCTGATGAAGGGAGTTGTATTTGTGCTGAGTGGTTTCCAAAATCCATTCAGGGGAGAACTACGAGACATGGCCACAGAGATGGGAGCTGTATACAAACCAGACTGGAAGAAGGGATGCACACACCTCATGTAATAATCATTTATTATGAGAACTGTTTACAAAGGAGCATAATGGCTGATTTCATCATTTCTAGAACATTTTGGATACATAACTCTCATCTTCTTCTGCAGATGTGCTTTTCAAAATACACCCAAGTACAATCAGGTGAAAGGAAAAGGGAAAATTGTAAAGAAAGAATGGATACAACATATGTATAAACAGAAGAAACCTCTACCTTGGAGAAAGTGAGTTCTTATAAATGTACTGATACTCAAAGGATGTTCTGCTTCATATGAATGGACATGAACATAAACACATAAGCAAGTGTCTTCATCCTTCTTTCAATGTACAGGTATTTCTCACAGTTTGATAATGACTTACTCTAACTTTTGTCATTTGTGTAATACAGATACAGACTTGGGGATGCAGATACACCAGAGGGAACAAGTGAGGAGGAGTCCGATGATGACAACACACCAGTTGTAAAGACACCAGTCCAAAAACCTAAACCAAAAGGTTGATCATTTGGTGGCATTAAAACATGTAAATAAATATTCCTTCCTTAGACCAGTTAATAAATATATGTCTGATTTTGTTTTGTAGAGAGCAAGGCCTCCCTAGAGAAGCACACTCCAAAGGGTAAAACAAAGAAGGGTGTGGACTTTGATGGGGATACAGATTCTGGGGGAGAGGAAGCTCCGATGGATTACGGGGGAGACACAGACTCAGGAGGGGATACAGAGGATGAACTGGAGAAGTATGTCTTAAAGTCCATACTTGATATTCAAAGATTGTGCCACAGGTTTTTCTTGCTTAATGCTAAATCACAGCTGAAGTCCTATATAACAAAATGTTTACATTTCAGAGTAAAGGCTAAACTGGCCTCACAATCAAATAAGAGCAATCCCTATGGTGATTCTACTGATGAAGACAAACCTTCAAAGAAATCCCCCCAAAAATCGCCATCTAAAAATAACTCAAATCCTCAGCCCTCTACATCCCACCAATCAGAAGCCAGCAAAAAAGCAGACGATAGTGATGATTCTGGCCTGCCCGATTTACCGGATTATTTCACAGACAAGCATTTTTTCTTGTATGGAGATTTTCCCAGTGGTGAGAGAAGACTGCTGACAAGATACATCACAGCTTATAATGGGTAGGATTTAAAACCATTGGTGGACTTTTGTATTATTTTCAAGTACTTTTTGAAGGATTTATTTGTAAATTTGACTTGTTTATTTTCAGGGAGATAGAAGAGTACATGAATGATAAAGTCCATTATGTTGTCACAAATTCTGACTGGGATAAAAATTTTGATGATGTAAGTTGAAATTATACCAAAATATTAGAGAAATGAAAATGAAATTAACTACACTGTGCATTCATTGTATAAATATTATGTAAAAATTCTTTGCTATAGACCATCAATGATTATATTCATGCTGTTGCTTTATACATGTAATTTTAATAAGCAAGAAATAACTTGGCTCCTTTGATTTCTCATTTCAGGCACTGTCTGACCACCCTAAACTAGTATTTGTGAAACCAAAGTGGATTCACACTTGTCACGAAAAGGAGAAATTAGTACCTTATCAGCACTACATTGTGATTCCACAGGATGATTGATGAATCAATGAGTCTAGAGATATTGAATTCAGAGTTTAGAGATATTGAATTCCAATATACAGATATTGAATTCCAGGACTGTGGTGCAGACTTTGATGAATATGATGAAATCATATCTTACCAACACTGCAGCAACATAATCGATGTTAATTTTTTCATTTATTTAAATAAATTCCTTGCATTTCAATGATTTTTGTCCATATTTCATCATAAATGTTTAGCAGAACTTGATATAGGCAGCTGTGAATACAAATATACTAGCTAGTACATGTATTTTAAATTTAACAGGTTGTTTTTCAAGAACTTATTTTGAAAAAGTGATTAATAAAATAAAGTAGAATGAAAATTTTGTTTGAACCTCAATAACTTGGGACTGGTGACTCTAAAAAAAATATAGGTTAGGCCATGCAAAGTTAATTACTTGGTTCTCAGGCCTTTTTTCAAGAAATATGATGAGGGAGGGAGGCATTTTTTTTCTTTTTTATTGCCCCCAAAACATGATGAGGCAGCTTTTTACATTGTACAAAACCTCAAAAAATGATGAGGGAGGTGATTTGGTGTTTATATTTTATTGATTTAGCAATGAAAAGGGTCAATGAGGCACCCTTGGAAGAGCTGAGGGAGGGCCTGAGAACCAAGAAATAAAATTTTTTTTTTTGCCTTAAATATTGGACTGTGCAATACAATCAATATTCCTGTATGTTAGGATTTGTTATAAAAAAAATATATGCTAGCATACTGCTGGGGCTTTGGATTTTGTAAATAAAATTTTAAATTAAAGATGTCAGGAAGGTTTTCATTCATGCCAATCAGTATCAAATGGTAAGGTTGTTGTATGGATGCATTTCGTTCCAAAATTGTAGTGAAATCCATTAGAACTTTTTTGCATCACACTCTGCTTATATATAGAGGTTAATTAAATGGGAAAAAAGAACTTTTTAACTGTCCTTTAATATTTTACAATACATATAGCAAAACAGTTTAAAAAATGTTAATACATAATTTCCAGCCAATACCCAGACCAAGTTAAAAATGTGAAATCACTTCACTTACATAATGGTAGATAAGGCCCATGGGTGCTTTGATGATTCCTAGTCTCTTGATATAAAGTATAAAAAATAGTTTACACATAGGGACTGCCCAAATGATTAATGGATTAGCAGCAAAAACTTTTTGAAAAAGTGTTTCAGAAAACTGATACTGCATATTTTATAAGAGCTGACCAGTATTTATCATATGTTGATACTGGTTTTAAAGAAAATTTTCTAAATATCAAAGTGATAAACTACATAAGAATGCAAATAATGGACGGATTTTCTTTATTTTAATAATACAGGAACATCTACATACATAGATAACAGTTACTGTAAAAATGTATATATACTCAACAAAAAAAGAAACGCATATTCAGATTAAACATGATAATCTGTGTTTTCAGTTTAATCCTATTTTTTTAAAGTGATTTTAGAGGGTTGTTAATAAAAATTAAACATCCTGTGTTGTAAGTAGGAAAGTGAAGTTTTTGTCATTGTCGACGCCTCCAAATTCAAGGGGCATAACGCCTTAACCAATCCATATATCCTTTGCGACGTCTAAGCGCTGGTGGATTTCCGATGTACGGATATCGTGCACGAGCACCAGCTCTTTTCAGTCTCTTTGGAACAATTTTTGCACTTTTATGCTGATTTTTTCATTCAGCAATTGTTGCAGCAGTTTTTACAGCAAGTTATGAATCGCGTGAGGTGCTGATAAGGGGGGGGGGCTGAAGGTTCTGTCTGGGTGTGGTTACCTGCAGACGGTCAATTCTTGGTCTTCCGACGTTAGTTTAACAGTTTAACGCCCACTGATGTATTCCAAATGCAGTTGCAACTTTCTGTTGCGTAGCTCCATTTAGTATCATCGTTAGTCTGGTTGTGTTCATCTTTGCTTCGGCGTGGCATTGAAGCATCAACACTTCAATCAAATATTAAACATGGGTTTAATAGGAGTGTTAATAGTTTCTCTAAATCCAAAATGTCAACGAAAATAGACACCCGATTTAGAAGAAATCTTGAAAAACAGTACTTTTATAAACACGTTTAATCAAGGGAGATAATTCAACACTTGGGTTTTAAAACCCCATGTTGTTCTTTAAAAAGGTCACAGGTATCCAATGATATACAAGATACTTGTTCCATGCATATTTTAAAAAATTCTTTTACGAGTTAAACAATATGCGTTTCTTTTTTTGTTGAGTATATAAATACAAGTAACAAACCCACATCGGTATCATGGGTATTGGTTACTTATACATGTAATCCAAATAGCAATTTAGTGATTCTCTCGCAAGCAAAAACACTGACCATTCAAGTACTATTATTTCTAGACTTAATCATGTAAATTATGAGGTTCATGTACATTTGGAAGTTCATATCTCAATCTATAAATTCTCCACACAGAGGAGCCTGTTTTGATTAAGACTACCAACCTATCACAGATTTTAAATTCAATTCTCAGTTTTTATTGAGTATCACTTTATTCATTTATTGGTCCTTGAAAACAGGTCGTCTCTGTGTTTTGAGTCCTTTAACAACTCCCAGGTGGCATTTTCTCTGGCAATCACCATCCTTTGTCGTGCTTTCTTGAAAGCATCTGAAGCAGCATAAGAGCACAATTTAAACACCTTTTACAAAAAACATTGATATTTATTATTTTCATGATAACAAAAATACTGTAGACATACTTTTCTCCATGTGGTTAAAATTCCGCGAAATATCTGTTTCCTTTTAATCCACAGGTAGAAAATTACACAGATTTTCTAAATTGTCACCATATGCCTTACATTTATATTAAGTATGCTTGGACAAATTTCCGAGGAAAATTTGTGACCGCGTACATAGCGTAAATAAATACCATGCGGAAAAAAGTACTTCTACAGTAGATACACACTAACAATACATTTAAGGAAATAATAATTATGTACAAATACTCCATACTGTTGAAGCGGAAAAGTAGTATTCAATTAGAAATTTGCACATATGTATATACACATACCTAATACAGACTGAATGTTTTGTTGTACTGTATTAATTCTGAAAGAGAAATAAAATTTTGTTGTAAAGTTCTGGACACATGAAAATATTTAAGGAAATAGTGAGATATCTATCATTGATGAAGTAATGATTATGGCCCTTCAGCAAGTTAGTCTTAACCTTTTTGTTTTTTCAACTTAGCAAGTCATATAAAAAGTAAAATTACCCAAGGGTATCCAAGAGAGAACCCAGTGACTTCTTGCTGGCTTTCTTTTCCAAAAATGACCTTCAAGAGAAAATCATTTACCAATAAATCATATAACGGGCAAAGTAATATTCCTGCTATTCTTGTTGTAGTCTTTGTCAAAGTACATGAATGTATATTTTAAATCTAATAAGGCTATCTTGTGCATGAGATGAAAATAATGTTTTGTTTACCTAGACTGCATTATCACATTGAATTTAACATCCACACTTCCTGTTGTTTCAGTGCGAAATCCATACTTGCTCAAATGAGGTCCCTGTTGAAAAGAAAAGAGAACAATAGATTTTTTTTATTGGAAATTATGTACCCAGTATAAAAATGGATCTACTTTGCAGCACATTTTTTTTTCTTGAATGTGTTTGGAGAAGGTCAAGACATAACTTGGACCATAAATATCTTGGCATATTCCTAATTTAGTGCAATCACTGAGTATTGAATGGTTGGCATATTCATGAATTTGGACTACATATAAATGTGCCATATATTTTATTTACAGGTATCTTATCTCTATCTTAGTGGTATTAATGAATTAGTGAGTGATTCATAATTTCTGCCAAAGCTGTTAAAATATGAAAACTGTTTTTATAAGTGCACTGAAACAATCTTTTAGAACCTTACATCAAAAGTGGATGGAATAGCAGTATATGTAGGGTCCTCTAGCTCTGGGGATCCACCAATGAAAAACCTCCTCATCTCAGAAACAAAGGATGGCCCTAAAGGTCGCCAGCAGTGGACAGTCTCCTTGTATACTCCTAAAAATAAAGCAGATTTGTTAAAAAGTTTATTAAAAATCAAGTGTATAGAGACATTTAACATTCTTCTATTCCAAAGTAATGTAAAATGGTCTCAAGCATCCTCTGGGGCATTTAGAGAATATGTAAATAAGAAAAGTAATGTAAGATGACTTCAGTTTTTATAGATTCTTGCTATACTGTAGATCATTTAATTTTCGCGACACCTTATTTTCGCTAGATAGTCGTTGACTCTTTACTAGCGAGACAAAATTTTTCATGAATTGTGGTCATTGCTCTATATAATATTAAGGAATTTTATTATACGCAAGAATGAAATTTTCGCTACACCTTATTTTCGCTAGATAGTCATTGACTCTTTACTAGCGAGACAAAATTTTTCATGAATTGTGGTCATTGCTCTATATAATATTAAGGAATTTTATTATACGCAAGAATGAAATTTTCGCGAGCATTCCATCTTGCGTAATTGCTCGAAAATAAAGTTCTCGCAAATAAAAAGTGATTTCCAGTATACAAATATATTCTATGAATAAAACAGATGGGAAATACAAACAGGTCCTTTAAAGTGTTGACAGTGTTAATGTTTACTTGGGACAGATACAGAAAGCATGGATTATGTCATTCTATATAATTATAGCTCACCTGGGCGAGGTGGGATAGCTAGGTAAGTGTAGCCCTCTGTCCTAAATCTGTTCCAGGAATCCAGAGATAACACCTCCATAAGGATGAATGGAAAATGGGGAAATGGATCTATAATGATCAAAATAATTTCCTGATTAAAAGAAATAGAATGAAATTGAAAGCAAATAAATATTTCTAATGAACAATTTTAAATGATGTGAGGTTTTCAAAATTATTTCTAATCAACTTCTGACAGATGCATTGGAAATGCATTTATAATCAATGGAAGTGTTTGAAACTTAATGAACAGATTACATGCAGATACTAGTTTTACTATTAAGATTTGTATATCTATGGCACGCCAAATTCACAAAAATGAGATAAACCTAGTTTCACATTTGATAAACTAGGTTTATCGACTGTAAACTATAGTTTACAAACCGTAAACTATAGTTAACGATTCGTTAAGTATAGTTTTCATCTGTAAAACTATATTTAACGGTTGTTAACTATAGTTTACGAATGATAATCTAAGTTTATCTGTCTGTAATAAGCGTTAACAATAGATTTTGTTGATAAACATAGATTCACGTTTGTAAACTATAGTTTACAATCGTAATCTATAGTTAAGAGTTGTTAATCATAGTTTCACAAATCGTGAAACTATATTTATCAGATCGTTAACTATAGTTAACGGTTTGTAAACTATAGTTTACAAATCGTGAAACTGTATTTATCAGATAATCTATGTTTTGCAATCGCAAATGATTGTTTTCAGTGTCAAGTATAGTTTACGGTTGTGAAACATAGATTATCGCGTTAACTATGGTTTACGGACGTAAAATATAGATTAACGTTGTTAACTATAGTTTACAGTCCGTAAACTATAGTTTACAACCAATAAACCTAGTTTATCGACTGTGAAACTATGTTTAGCTCATTTTTGTGAATTTGGCGTGCCATATATATCTATGACTGCAATATATTCAGTGAGTACATTACCTTTATTTTCTTCAATGTAAGTTTCATCTTTATAAAACATTTCAAACTCAAAAGGGAAACTAAAATGTGCCACATCATCCTGGAAACATACAAAAAGAAAAAATATGCTTTGCTATTTCGTTTAATTAAACTTTTGAAATGCCCAAATTTTGTCACAAAAGTATGTCTTACCCTGCCTTCCACTTTTGTAGCACAGGTCTGGGTTACCCAGGATAGCTGCTGATGTCTGTCCACCTTCCAATCTGTAAAATAATTACAGGTATTTCTTACAAAGCTTTACAAAGAGAAAAAACTTTTTCTGGTAAATATGACAAGGTTATTAGAAAATCTATTAATCTTTGCTGTAAAACTTAATCAAACATGACTTACTCTTAGGTATATCAACAAAGAAGTGAATATAAAGATCATCATATTCAAAATTTTTGGCTCTTTCTGAAAAGAAATAGATAAACATGGGTTCAGATATTTAAATGTGTGTATTTCTTTTTAAAAAAAATTAATTTGGATTAAAAAGCAAATGAACAAGGCAAAAAAATAAAAGTAAATGGAAGAATTTCTTAACAAACCTATTTCCCCACAGACCACAAGCCGCAACACTTCAGGAGGAGGCTAAAAATAGAAAACATTGTAGCAAATCAGAAGGATAAAAAATCCTGCTTTCCATACTGGTAAAAACTATCATTATCAAAGAATACTCACAAGTTCAAATTCATGCCCGACACATGCTGACAGGAAGTCTTTATGACGACTGTAAACCTCTCTATACATCTTCATCTCTCTGTCCTGATCTTGTCTGCAATCAATCATAATAATATCAACAATGCATATTGTAATGAATATTGTAGTTTTATTTAACAGAATTGCTCTCAAAAAGAAAAAAAATCAAATTACATGCATATTTTGTCACTTACCTACTCATAACTTTTGAATCATGCTCAATGGTATATTCAAAAACCTCTGCAAAAGAATAAAATACATCTATATTCCTGAAATTTATAGTAATAGTTGTGATATTTATAAACTACCACAGTATTTAATCCTCAGTATCTAATCAAGCAAACTTTAATGCACTGGCATATGATGCAGATGTGAATTGTTAGAGAAATGTATAAAAGAAAGAATATCAGAGCTTCATTCAATGAAACAAAGTTCGGCCAATGGGACACTAGCAACAAGAGAAGAAAAGTTTGTTGTTAAACTGCAAGCATTATGGAGTGGATGCTCCCTACCCCTTCCCAGACTAGCGGTCTCGGCGACATAAGGTTTCCTCCCTCTGTTGAAGTCTGGCCTGATACACAAGACACCGTTAGCGTCCAGCTGTAGAGAACACAAGATGACCTCATCCCCGTCCTCATAGGGTCTATAAATAGAAACATCTGTAGCTGTCACAAAATGAAGAGGAAAAAAAGATGGATACATGTATTATGGTATGGGCATATGAAACCTTGTTCTCATATCAATGAAAATAACATATTTCATATGCAAGAACACCACAAAATGGGTTTTTTCTGGCTGATTCAAATTGAGCAGGTAGAAGTTCACTGTATAAAACTGACCGGTCCTTAGGTCCCAGATCAGCCATGATGTACATGACTTGTGCCGGGGCTGCCATGATGTGGTTCTTGTTCCTGAGCTCCTCAGAGGGAGTCTCCTCCACAATGTTAAGCTTAGGGACAAATGCACTACTCCTGTAAAATAGATTACACTAATGATTTCACTATCAAACGGAATGCTGAATCTACATACTGGTATGTTTTTCCACTTTGTATGTCTATCAAAGATCAAGACTTTAAAAAACATAAAGTAATTGAAAATTTCATTGTCAGAACCCTGTCTGTACCTCTCTCTCGACTTTTTTCCACCACCAATTTTTCGTCTGCGTAGATGTGCCATTTTATCTGCTAGGATTGTAGGTGTTTCCTTTGGTGAGTTTGTCATGAAAATTACAGCCTACAATGTTAAAAAAGTCGATCAAACCACTGGCGAAACTTCGGAAAGATACATGTTAAAAAGTAATGTACATTATTATCAAATCAAGCAGATATCTGTTAAATATGTTCTTTCATGGTCTGCTGATGTGAAATATATCTTAAGTGTACAGATCATAACAAAGTGCTTGGGATGAACAACTCTTATTCATTATGAATGTACTAATTCATTCGATCTGTTAAATTTGAAAACCATATTTTAAAGCCATGGGAAAGAAAAATCACTTCTTGTAAGCACCAATTCATTATATGCAAGTTTTACTGTGTAACAACATTGACAGCTGGATGAAATTCCCTATTTATAGTAATGAAAACCCTTCTGTCACAGAGTTCTAGTTTATTGTGGTTATACACAGCTAAAAATATTTCTATTGTACTCTCTTGCATTTAGATTTACGAATACATACACCCATTGTCTTGATATATGACCCCATACCAATCTTTCAGAGAATGTATTACAGTAATACATGTAAACAGCAAGGTTAAGGACTGCCAAAGGTATATCAGTCTATGCAGAGTTTCAGGAAATCGATTACGATGTCACAGTGAAACTGCACATATGAATCTCGGCGAATAAATAATAATTTTCTTTTTCATAAACTTTTACATACATTGTTTTCTCCTTATTATTGTAAATATAAATTAATGTGTAACTTATCTTGTCATTAAAACACTATTTGAATGTAAAATTAAACTCAACTTGATCTCGCTGTACTGACAGATATGACGTCATAGACTAGTTTGACATGCAGTTTCTCTACACTTGAGATGCAGATCGAGATATTATTGAAACTTGTAAACGTGAAATTTAATTCTCATAAGCGTGATCTAACTAAAAATAAGTCATATTTTTGAATGCATTAATCAATATTTCACAGTCTTATTAACGAGGCCCAATCTACTTGATCTGCGCATACGTTTTAACGCAGCGTCAACTCAGGCACATCACAGTACCCTTGACTGCCGTCACAATTGAAAACAATAACATCACAATCAAAATGACGTCAAATTGCGCTAAAATGTTTCGCTGATCTTGCATACCTGGAAGCTCTATAGACTGTGCATATTGAAAGCTGGCTCATTCTGGCATTTCTATTATTTACATCAGGGTTTTTTTAAAATTGATAATCACTTGTAGAACATAATTTATTTTGAGGTATTAATTTCTAGGTACAGGTTCATTAATTTTATCTTCTTTTTTTTTCAATTAGTGAGTTAGAAAAAACAAACAAACACTGCAACCAAATTGAAATGTTAACGATTTTAGTCTTTCTCCTTGAACATGTTGAAGAGTTTATACACATTCCTTTTTACTGTGGACTTAATTATGCATGGATTAGCTTGAGTTTAAAAAAGTCTTTGAATCAATTAAATGCAATCACCAAAATATTTTATTTTTTGTATAATACACGATATTGGTAAATTTCGTAATTTTGTCGCCTTTTTTTACCCCCCCCCTCTTTTTTCCACGTAAAACAACGTCGTGTGTTAAGAAGAAATAAAGCATGGAGAGAAAATTATTTCATAATGTAAGAAGTATTTAATTTTTAGAAACTAATACAGTATTACAATCGTTTGTTGATGTTATGTAAACCCATTGCATCTTATATAAATGTCTAGTTGGATAAAATAAGTCCTATTTTTGTGTTTTGATATGTTCCCTTTTCACTGCAATAAAGGCTACCTCTGATTTTCTTTTCATTTTTTAAAAGAGGAATGAAAATCGCATGATATATGTGAAAATCAAACTATTTCATCATTTACATTTTTTTTTTATTTTTCAATTACTTTGTTTTTAAGGGAGTTTAGTATGTAATTGTGTATAAAAACACGAAAAATGGTCCATATCTTGAAAGTGCCCCCATTTAACTACAATAAAGGCAAGGTAACAAAATTTCACTCTAATTTTTCTTGGCATAATACATACAAATTTATTTCCAAGAATTGAATTTTTTTATCATATCATTTTCGTAATTTCCAACTAGATTAGGCCTCATTAAATTGATATCGAATAGATGTCTTATAAAGCCGCACTCATGCACTTTTATACACAAACGTACTACAATCACAGGCACAACCCCTCTAAAATCCCAAAAGTTGAACGATATCAGCTTAACTATAAAATATGATATTTTGTACACATATAGCTATTGTCCCTACTACTTTGAAAAGTGCTGGGAGCAAGTTGTGCGCTGATGATTTTTTCTGTAATTTTACATTATTTCAATGCGTATAGTGTAAATGCACGATGTTTATCAAAAGACAGCTAAATTTTATATAATTCCCGGGAATGGGGAAGTTGCTCCCAGCACTTTTCGGGTCAAGACATTTGTTTTTAAGAAAACACAATCAACTTCTTAGTGAAAAATTATCCGTATTTCATTGAACTTTTACGATATTTATATCCATACATATTTTTTCTAATTTTAACCATGTCACATGACAAACAGCTGATGTACATTATGTCGCTTTGGCCGAACTCGGTTGAAACCCTATACATACATATGCATTAGTACAATTCCCACTAAAGTAAAACTCATGCTAATAAAAAAGATATCAATAATATATTGATTTTTTGCAATATTTTAAGGCACAGTTCCTATGGGCATCCTTAACCTAGCTGATAGTAAATACACTATGACAGTGAGTTATGTTTCAAAATCCCTCTGAAGTTTCCACTGAAGAAGAATTTACAGATTCAGAAAATAGAAGTTACCTTATCTTCTTGTGAGAAATTATCATGGTCCACATATGTAAATAATCTGTTGGTTGGTTGACCTCTGCTCCTGGATGGATTTAAAGAAATTGACATCATTAGCATATTTTACACATTGTTACTTACCAACACTGTCTAGAAACATTGCCTTGAATATTTTCATATTCCATATTGGAAGACCATGCACTTTTATTTGATCATTAAATAATACTTTTCATAAACATTTATTTTTAGAACCTGATTTCACTGATCTTTCACTGAATTCTGATGAACCATTCTTCATACATGTAACTTACAGTATTTCTGTAACTTGAGCATTGTAGTCCTTCTCCAGCTGTGTTGTGCAGTTTGCAATGTTTTGGTAAAACACAACTTCTCGCTATAAAGACATTATATACATGTACTATACGTAAAACTTCTGTTGGATCCTTCATCATTATGTTTTATTTTTTAAAACTTCATTGTTACAATTAACTCTCATGTTTGAAAGTATTGATTTTCTAGGAACTATTTTACAGTCATAATAACATGTTTCAAAAATACAGTCATTTCTTTTTTCAAATGAAAATACTGTAATGCCTATGTCATTCCATTCATCAAATCTTCAATATTTTGTTTCATCAATCAATTATTCTTCAATGTTTTGCATTGTTAACTCACAACATTCATTGAAATTGGTTCCATCAATTCTTTTCTCTTCCTATCTATACTCTATAAACTGACCTTGCTGAACTCTTTTTGCTGCCAGTTGAACACCCTTTCTTCGATGTCCTGCATGCTTTCTTGCACCTTTTGCATCTCAAGATTAGAGCCATCTTGTTCTAGATTGCTTTGTGGCACAATGTTTGATGATGAAATTCTGCTTAACTTCACACTACAACAAATATTTTTATAGATAAATTCATGTATCAGTTGAATCGATTTTATTAAATCCAGTAATGATGTATGACACTTCGTGTCTAATGTACTATATCTTCATATTTTAACTGCTTTTGCACTGACAATGATGTGCTAATTCAATAATTTTGTTAATAAATCATTTATTAATACATTGTGTGAACATGTGTAGTGCTTACTCATAATTATGCCAACCCCAATATAATTTAATTTAAACAATATTTTATTCACTGATGTTAATGTGAATGGGATTAGGCAGCAGGCTCAGCCTATTTTAGCCCTCTCCCTAAATATACAATATACCTGGTGACTGCGCTAAATTTTGAATAGATGAATGAATTTATGTACACATACAGTATCTCGACAAGAATTTTCATAAGTTCATATAAAATAAAACAGGGTTATAATGAACATGCCCAAATGAAAAAGAAATCTAACAAAATACTTTCAAAATATCTTCAAAACACTACCAAATCATACTTTTATATTTTCTTAGTATGTTTTGAAAGTGTTGCATTTAACGAAACATCAATGCTATACTTTACAGGATGGGGTGGCATGGTATTTTGTTAATGTTTCATTACAATGTTGGTGTTTTATTGATGTTTCATTACACTCTGCAGAATGAAATTGCATTTTGAAAGTGTTTCATTATACTTGTCTGCATCAAATTAATATTTTGTTAGCATTTCATTTGATTAACAGACATGTTAAGGGTTGACTTATCTAAGAGCAGTAAAATCTTCCAAGAACAACTTATCTATTTATATCCTGTGTTACTAGTTTTGCGCCAATTTTCAAACCACCAGCACTAGGTCAGAGAGAAACATAGAGATTGGTGAAGGGACATGTAAAGTGTTAGTATATATATTGATCCTTGATTGGAAAAAGCAAAATCAGGATGAATCTGGATATAACAGAGGTATTTATTTATTGCATGACATAAAGTTCTTTTAAACTGGACTACAGTTAAACCTTCAATCTGTGAATGTGGATGTGTATATGGCCTGTTTTTATTGGGTTTTTGTTCATTTTAAGATTGACCTTTAATCCATATACTACCCAGCTTAGATCAGTTTATAAGCACTGGGTTAAATGAATTATAATTATACTTGAAAATTCTGTGAAAATGTTGTATGTGAATGGAGAAATGGTCAATGGATTGAGAATTATATCTCTTACACCAAAGGATTTCACTGCAGAGAATGATCGATATAAGAGAGTGCATGATCATGAATCGAACTTGGTGTTTTTAAATGTTGGAATGGTGTGCTATTGTCTATTGAACAATAATGTCAAACCTGGAATTCAAAATACTGTGAAACAAGATGTTTATAATATGTTTCAATATGAGACTGTGTTTAGATGTTTTCAAAGACTTGTGAATTTGCTAATTATAATTTTAAAAATTCAAATTTAGTGGTTTATTGATGATTTGTTACTTATGCTTTGTTAGTATTTTGTTAGAGTGTTTTGTTAGCCTCATTTGCATGTGATTTTCTATACTAATGGAATACTATCAAAACACAGTGTTTTGTTAGTAGTTTGTTAGAGTGTTTCGTAAGTATTTTGTTAAAGTGTTTTGTTAGTAGTTTGTTAGAGTGTTTTCAAAGTAACTTGTTATAGTGTTTTGTTAGCTCATTTGCATGTGATTTGCTATACTATCAAAACACTTTCAAAACATATGTTTTGTAAGTAGTTTGTTATAGTATTTTGTTTCCCCCTTTTTTTCATTTGGGTGCTTATAATGAATTGACGCTTGCAGCAAAGTGATTTTCATTCCCCATGACTTTATTACAAATACAAATACAAATACTTTATTGGCACAAACACAATTACAATAATTGGCAAAGGCCCACTGAACAACATTAAATAATGTTTACATATTTTTTCAAGAATTGTCAAGTAATTGACTTCTAAGATCAAAACAGTCTCTGATATATTTAACAGTAACTTTCAAGACTTTTTGTATATTAGTGTTTATACATAATTGTAGCATATATTTCTCATTGCTAAGATTAATATTTTTCTTTGTTATGTTATAAATATTACTAAAGAATGCGTTTCTTAGCTTAGAGTAAGAATTACAGTGAAAAAGAAAATGTACTTCATCCTCAATCACACCAGTATTACAAACATTACAATATCTTTCATTTCTTGATGTGGAAATATATCTACCACTTTCTATTGCAAGTTTATGTGCGCTTAGTCTAATTTTACTAAGAGAGGATCTCTCAGATCTTTTTTTGAGTAAATCAACATAAGGACTTCTTTTTCCTGAGTATACTTTCTTGAAGAGATCAAGTTTTTCTGAACCAAAGATTTTTGATGTTTGCTCTTGAGTGCACTGATCTACGATTCTTTGTTTAATGTTTGGTAAAAGGTGTTGGATGGAACCTGTATATTTTGTAATGTTAGAGAATCCAAGATTATCAAGAATAGAAAATAATTTCTTAGTCCAAGAATTACAGTTAATTGTGGATTGGTAAAGTTTAAAGGCCAAAGAATCAGAAGTTTTCAGGTGATTCCAATATTTGATACTTGAGAGGGAAATTTTGGACCAAAGTGGTAGTCTTTTAAGTTCTGCTAAACAACCAGCATTGGATGTTTTGCAGTGCACTCCAAGGATGTCTTTAATGAATTTTAAGTGAAAATTTTCAACATTTGAAATATCTTTGGATGAGAGATCCACTCCCCATATTTCACTACAATAGAGAAGAACTGGAAGTACAATAGCATCAAAGAGTTTTTCTAAAAGTTTACATGGGTTATCAAATCCAATAATTCTTTTCATTTTAAAACATGCCTTTCTGGCCTTTTCAATAAGCACAGCTGTTGCTAAATTAAACTTCCTATTACATTTCATCATAATACCTAAATAACAGTATCTTGGTACAATTTGTATTCATTACCATTAAAACTAAATTCATTTCCTTGAGGCTTGCCATTTGAATTAAATATCATAACTTTAGATTTATCTACATTAACTTGGAGTTTCCAATTTGAGCAATAGTTACTGAGAATATCAAGACTGGTTTGTAAACCGCTTTTGCTTTCTGAGAAGATTACAATATCATCAGCATATAACAGACAATTTACATGCATATTGTTTACTTGTACAGGATCACAATTTCCATTTTTTAAGTCATGGACAATACCATCAATAAAAACATTAAAAAGTGTGGGGCTTAAGACATCCCCTTGTTTGACACCACACTCAGAATTGAATACATCACTTAATCCATCAGAAAATTTGATTCTACTCATTGTATTACTATACATTGAAAATAAAATATTGAACATTTTTTGGGAAATATTACATTCAAGAAGTTTATAAAATAAACCTAATCTCCATACAGTGTCAAATGCTTTTCTAAGATCAATAAAAGCAGCATAAACCTTTTTGTTTTTGTAGTGGTCAATTATTGTTTTTATTGAGAATAAATGGTCTGATGTTCTACAATTTTCCTTGAAACCAATTTGGTTTTCACTTATCAGTGATGCAGAGTTTACAAATTCAAGTAGCCTAGTATGTATTATTCTGTTGAAAAGTTTTCCTAGATTTGAAGTAATTGATATACCTCGGTAGTTATTAGGATCGAGCCTATTACCCGACTTATACAGTAAAACTAAGTAGCTCTCATTCCAACTTTTTGGGAATATACCAGAATTAAGTATAAAGTTAAATAATTTTTCAAGAGGTTTCAGCATTACAGATCCCCCATTTTTTAACATTTCATTTGATATCATATCTATAGAAGAACTCTTTCCATTTTTCAAGGATTTAAGGGCATTCCTTATTTCAGCGACAGTAATTTCTGGTTCAAGGAAATGGTTATGATGTAGTTTTTCTTTCAAGACATGAAATTTATCTATTATACTTTTATGAAAATTATTGTGATTGTTGTCAGCTTTGTTAAGTTTCTTAAAAAACTGATAAAATTCCTCAGGGTGAACATCATGAGATGAAATTTGTCCAGTATTGATTTTATCTAATTTATTGAGTAATTTCCAGAATGACTTTGGATTTTTATTGATATTGTTGTTAATGTCATTACATATTGTGTTTCTGTAATTTTGCTCCTCAAATTTACATAATCTTCTGTATTTTGCCTTGTATGTATAGAACATTTTCCTATATTCTCCATTAAAAGGGTTCTTGTTTACAAGTTTTTCATAATTTTTTACTGTAATTCTCAGATCAGAACATGACTGTGAGAACCACGGTTTTTTCTTATTTTTACGAGTTTTATGCCTAGGTCCTCTCTTAATAAGTTTAGTCGATATTTTTGCACATTCAACAAGTATTGAGCTGAAGGCTTTTGAAATGGAATCACTATCAGAAAATTCATCCCTCAAAAATTCAGAAAATTTAATTTGGAATAGATTGCTGTGAATATTTTTAGTGTAGGATTCTATTGCATCATTATTCCACAAAAACTTTCCAGGAACTGGTTTTAAATTATTTGAGTTATTTGAGTTTGGTTCTGAACAGAAGCTGTCGAATATTGCACAACTAATTGGACAATGGTTTGATAGGGAAGTAAAATCTAGTACTTCAAAATAACCAATTGAATTTAGAAAGTCTTTTGATACAAGACAATAATCAACTAGACTGCAACCATTATAGGTTATACAGGTGGGTCGACCTGTTAGATCACCTGTTGTTCTACCGTTTAAGATTCGTAAACCCGATTCTTTACAAAGGTTCAGAAGATTTTTGCCACTATTGTTAATGTGCTTGTGGTCAAGATTATTTCTTGACAAAATTTTATCTGGTTGATAAAGAACATCATCTGAATTAATACGTTCAGAATCAAATATAACAAAATCAGGTTGGGTATTGGTGTAGGCATTGAAGTCACCTTGAACTATTACGTCACCGTTTCTACTATATTTTACTATGTCACTTAGTAAAACTGAATATATTTGTTCAATGTCATTCACATTGCCATTAGAATATTGGGGAGATATATAAACTACTGCAAGATAAATATCTCTTTGTAATCTAAAGAAACTTTGATCAAGTTTGATCCATAAAATATCTGGATGACTATTGTTAATTGGTATAATACCACTTATAATTGTAGGTTTTGCATAAATATGTATTCCACCGGAATATCGTCTTGCCTTTTTATGTTTTTTTCTAGAGCTTGAGTGAACTAAAATGTGATTGGGAAATGCACTGCCTTGATTTGTTTCACCTAACCAGGTTTCAACTAGGCTAGCTATGTGAAATTGTGACAACTGCTCTTGAAATAGGGGGTCTTGGATGTTCCACATACCCAGCTTCAAAAAATTTGAATTATTTGCAACATGTTCGGAATATTTTTTCATGATGAAATAATAGAGATAAAGGATACTGGATTACACATTTTGAAATTATAGTACATATATTTATATATATATATATATATAAAAAAAAAAAGATGATTTTATCGACATAGAAGCATGTCTTCTAAGATTACGAATTTAAGAAATATTCGTATAATAGTAACCACATTATACTTATTAAGTAATACATCAGTAAAGTATACAATTATGTGGTTTATGAATTACACTAAACAATAAAATGGATAAATGGTAGTATTAACTACATTAGTAACTGTAGATTGAAGCAAATTCTAGTGCACATAGATCAGTTTGATATCAAAGTTGAAAACCATATCTAAAAGCGTACTAAAAATTACAAATATAAAAGTATTAATTGAAACATCATTTCTTAAGCAGTATGATATCTTAGACAACATGATCAATGAAAGTTAATAATATAACAGTATTCTGATATAAAATAAACAGTTTCCCTAATAATGTAAGTATTAAAGATAATTATATATTGTAAACTTGATAGATATAACGAATTACGCTTTAATATAACGAAGCACAATTGTCTGTCACTAGCACTTCATTATGTGTTTTACTATATATGTGGAATGTATTCTAAGTGTTTCTGACTTTGAATAGTGTCTTGGCTATTCCTAAGACAAAGTTTGATTTTTAAACTGAATTTCCATAATTTCAATATCACACATGGTTCAAAATTGCACCTTGAAAATGAAACTGGGATTTATCTTCAAATGAACTCAAAGCATCAACTTCTGATCCTGTTTGTTTCTTCTCATACACCTCACAAACACAATTGAAATATATTGAAAAGAAAATGTATGGCGGTACTGGGAATGAAACCCCCTGCATTATTAGTGAAGTCCTGCAGATGCTCTACGAACTGAGCCATCCAGGCCGATTTCCACGGCCCGGGTTCGATTCCCAGCCCAGTCATACGTTTTCCATTTTCCTGTTAATCAATATAACTTTTTAAAATACATTAAAATACAGACTGAGGAAATTCGAAATGGTTAGAGATTGAAAAATATCGGGTTAATCAACTCCGTATGTAAACCAGGTATGAGCTGTGGAAAGATCGTAGAAAATCTAGGCTAAATGTTTGCATTACCGTATTTTTAAGTTTTTAACAGGGTCGCTAGACCTGTAATATGCAGCTCCCAAGTCAGGATCAGACAGGTCGGCCATGACGCTCAAAAACAATCAACGTCAAACAAGCGCTTGTAAGTTATAGGAAAAGGCCCGTGGGCTATAATCCTCGCCTGAAGTCCAGACTGTTTATTTTCTCTCCATCTAGAGTTCTATGTATACATGACCTTTTATATGTTTTGGGACAGGTAACAAGTCTTGTAAAAATTATTGTGCCAGAATAATTTTTAATGCTACAGTTTCTGTAACTGTATAACCAGAAATCTAGCTGTCACAGTCTGGGAGATTCCTTAGTTGTGGCTGGAGGTGACTCTGCTTACAGCGCTTAGTGACCAGCTAGAGTAAATGTGGGTCAAGGATTTAATTTAATAATGAGTTGGTTTAACAAATGCATTAGAGAAAATATACTGTCCACAATATATGTGGTAATTAAAATTGGGCTAGCTGGTTCATTGCATTCAACACTCCCACTGATGTGTTTGTAAACTTTTTTATCAGTGTTCTGCAAATTATAGTACCTGTGCATGTATAATTATAGTTTAATTTCTCATTAATATGTAAGGTGATATGCATCCATATTTCTTTGTTGTACTACAATGAATACAACTGTAAGGCAGAGAGACACATTGATCAAGGGTTGTCTATAAAAATGCCCGTTTTTAAATCCTAAGAGATGCTGCTGATCCTCCCTATCTTTAAAGCAATATGAGCTGCATGTTTGACATCGGAATTTTTTTCTTGCTAATTTGTAACTATTTCAATGACAGAAAAATAAAAACATTTATAAACTTCTTTTGTTCATATTTGCGATAGAAATTTTTTTATTAGCTTTGATTGAAGCAAAATTGAATTATTGTCGTCCTGTACAATAATGATTTCTTATATGATACTGTATATTTGGTTGTACAGAAATATTTCTTCTGAAACATTTCTAAATTTTATTTTGGGCTTATTGGTCATAAGGGTTTAGATGCAGTGGCGTAGCATCGTTTTTGAAAGTGGGGGGGCCAGGCAGAGAAAATTTTTTTTTTACTTACCTGAAAAAGTTGACAAGCAAAAAAAAAAAAAAAAAAAAAAAAGGGAAAAGTTGCCCAAAGTCGAAAATCCTATTTCGTAGGGGGGGGGGGGGGGGGGGGGGTTGTAGGTAAACTTTTTCTCAGTGTTAACTACTTTTAGTACCACTTCTTATACTACATCTTCGGTACATTTCTAAAAGTGGGGGGCGCCAACCAGGCTTTCAATTAACATTTCCTATAGTGTAAGTAAGGTTGGGAAAAAAAGTGGGGGGACCAGGCCCCCCCTGGCCCCCCCGGATACTACGCCCCTGAGATGGCATACAAATTAACCACAATAGCACATTTTACCAGCAAAATAAAATTCTCAGAAATGCAGCTCATATTGCTTTAATTGCTGGTGTTCTTAATGTGATACGTACCTAAATATTTTATTTACAATATATTTTCTTATTAAAATCCTAGTAACAACAAATTGCAATATTTATGCCCGTGACATTTTTTGAAGTTCTAATCTTTGTATTTTTTAATCCTTTTTTTGGCAGTCCATTTAATATCAGATCACATAGTGACAGACTGACCTGAACAACATATATAAAATATAAACAAGCAGCTGTCCATTAAACTTTGCTATTCATTCAACAATTTGTTAGTTCTTTGTGATAGGATTCACTGCACGCATTGTGGACAGGACCCCACCCTTGAATAAACATCCGAGGTTCAAGGATATTTTTTATTTGTCTCCTTTCATGAATAAATCTTGTACACATTTACAATGTACAATGTATTCCATATGAAAAATCAAAAAAATAATGCAGAATTAATGTTTTTATTAAAAATCATAACCCTGTTTTTATAAAATCTAACAATAACACTCACCAACTATTTTTTGTTATTTATATACAACATATAAATTAATTGATCTGAGGGCAGATCACAGTAAACTGCATGAAAATATCACCACATTTAAACTTTTTAGTGGGCAGTGAATAGAGCCCTTGGGCCCGTTTTACAAAAGAACTTATGACTAGGACCAAAAACTTCAGATGATTGTAAAATTTTGAAAAATTAATAATTCTCATGGAATTTGTTAGTGTAAAAATATCTTACCACATTCCTTTTAAAAAGTTTAAAATAATATTTTGATAAAATGTTAATTAAAAAGTTATATGAAGAATAAATCTTGGTCTTAAGTCGTAAGTCCTTTTGTAAAACGGACCCCTGGTTCTTACGTGTTCAATAAAGGGTACATGTATTATAGTTTCTATAATGAAAATTACATGTATTTAAATTCTACACTTGGAGATAAAGATATTCTGCATTATCAGAGAAGGAATCTTGTCAAGAACATAAATTTTAAAATGCACTTTGCATAGCTATATTATATCATCTATATAATAATATAAAACCAAATGTACACCTTATTTGACATCATGTAAGAATAAAATTAAAAAAATAACAATCTGAATGCAAAATAAAATTCAAATCAACAATATTAAACAACATCTAATTGTCTGCTTTATAATGTATTGCAAGAGCTGTGTAGATTCTCTGCAATGCTGAAATCTGCTTGTTTCTAGCATGCAGGATTATTCCATAAATGGTGCCAATCATCACAACTTTGTTCTTATCACAGATATATTGTCCTAGACAAGTCGCCAACACGTGTAACAGAAGAGGACAGTTACACTTCAATTCAATTACAGCTTTAGCAAAGCAATTATCATTCCTCAGAACTTCTGGATTCCGTTGCCATAACACACTGGCCCCTGGTTGACACAGTTTTTTCAGTTGTGTGTCAAGCTCCTTTAGTTCATTAGATAAAGTGTATGAATTAATTGCAGATATCGATCTCTGAAGCTCATCTTGGTCTTTGGTTTCTAAGTCCTCAGTGATCAAACAGTAGTCATGATCTAGCTTAATCACCCCAAAATCACAGGAATCATGGGTGATGTCAACTCCTCCTATGGATCTTGTGTATCCATGATCAAATAAAAGTCCTGGTACGCACTGAGAAGGTAAAAGTTCATCTTCAGGTTCATCATTGACTGACATCAAACAATCTTGAGAATCTTTGCTGGAAGATGTGTTTTCAACGGTATCAGTAATCAGTAAATTTTCTACCACAGTGTTTTCCTCCAATGCAGATGGTGGTGTTTCGGAAAGTCTTTTCGCAAAATCCATCGACTGAATCTGTTGATTATAAGTTACTAAGGCATCCTTCTGGAATGCTAGTGCAGCAGAGCATTTCTTGTAACAGACCTCACAAAGCTTCAAACCAGTCATCAGAGGGCGTTTCTGAATTTTAACTCCTAATAATTAAAAAAAAAAGTGTTCAGGATGCTTCATGTCTGAGAGTGCTGGTACATAATAGTGTGTCGGCTTGTGATTGAAAAAATATGTTTGCAAGAGGTTATACTTGCTAAAAAAAGATGCATGCCTCCTTTTTTTTTAAATGAGAAGTAGACTTTTTTCAATCTGACAAGGTCAAATTTGGGTTATAAGGGAATTGAGCACATATGAGGGTTGATCCAAAGTCATAACTTCCATAAAATTGCTACTAGTGGACGTAAATTGACAAAATTAAAAAAGATGGAAGCTATATTTATTTCAAATCAAATATGAACATTTCAGTTCATCTAATCCTTGTACCTTACTCTGGTTGCTCCTATTAATATAATTATTCTCATACATTTTACTCATTTTACATTAACTTATTTGCCTCTACTCTTTCTTCCAAGAAATGAATGTTTTACTTTTTTAATACATGTACATACATGCAATGCACATTTACATTTAAACTAGGTAAACAACTGTTCATCAGAGCTGTGGAAAACTTTTTCAGATAGCCAGTCATTCGAACCGGCAAGAAGACAAAATATGCCGGTCCGAGGTGATTTTTGCCGGTCCGAAATAGTTGCAAAATTAAAAGAAAAGCATACCATTTATTTTCTTAATTACACTTTACTTAATAATAACATTCAGTCTCCATTTCCAAGTCCTCCTCCGTTTTCCTTTTTTGCATTTATTACAATACTACATTTCATCACTTTTGTGCAGGTGTCAATGATAATTCTGCATAGTAAACATACTTTTTTAAAACATTAATGCATTTGCGAATTACAATTTACCTCGAAAATGAGTCTAAGAAATTCTGTACAGCGATAATTAAGATACCACCATCATGAAATCGATGAAAAAAAAAACGAAATCTGGGACAGTCGGGAACGACGGAAGTACTATGTATACCGCTTTACTTAACTGTGTTTGAATTTTTTCTTTAGAAATGTTTTACATACCCAGGTATTTAGCCTGCCTGTATCTTTTTTTATGTTTTCTACCTAATTCTGTCCTATTTGTAAATTTAAAAGGTCACGTGAGGCAATGCTGGTTTTGCTTTCATTTCCTATAGCCTTGATCTCGTGCAAAGAAAAAGTATTGCGCAATCGTATATAAGGTACAATAATTAAGCTGGGAAGTGCGCCGATGATAGGCCTGAATTAAAATGGAAAAAACCTTTAACAAAGAAAGAGGTCGGTCATTTGGATCGACATCAATAGCATTTTTACCGGTCACAGGCATTTTTTGCTGCATGACAGGCAGTTTTCCACATCTCTGTGTCAATATGGTCATCCATGTTTACTGAATAAGTCAATCAAGAAATTTACCTAAGAATTTCTCAACTACTTCCCGATAACTTTCTTTCATAGCCTTATTTTGAGTGAAGGAGTGTAACCTCCTAGTTGATGAGGCACAGAGTAAACAGGAACTCAATGGGATGAGTTTTTGTGAAGTTTCTGATTCCATATTAATGGGTATTATGTTCCAAGCAAAAGCAAATACAGCGTACGCAGCATAGCACCATGTCCGAGAAAAGCATGCCAAGGAGTTCCCATAGCATAAAAGTCACATTTCCCTGAAAAAGATTTATTATTTAATTTCCTTTGTAGAAAAAAAGACAAAATATTTTACCTAAATAACAACTTTAAGTATGACGAGATTCAATAGGTTGCTTACCTGCAATATGTTAAGTGATTTGATAGCTACTCAGTATTACATCCCCACAGGTGACAAGGAACATCTACCAGCCAAACTCTGAAATGTTTAAAAGATTTTTAAAAAATTTTATCCCTAAAATCAATAATCAGACAAAAAGTTTGATACAAACAATTATCATGACAGGATGCATTGTAGCCCTACCTGGTAGATATCAATATCCAGGAAAGACCCGAGTTAAACATGCATGTTGTATATAACATCCATTTTGAAATTTGCAAATACTTTTGTCAGGGTGCTGTAGATATTCTTATGATAAATCAGAACCACTCTATTTTACCGGTCCCCAGAAAAATGCCAAATCTCCAAGAGATGCAAGACAAAACTATGTGTGAGGACTATAACCCTAATCTCTCAGATGGATGCAAGACTAACCCTAACCAGTCAAATAATGTGCATTAGACTAACCCTTATCAGTTAAGTGATGCAATTCTTGCGTCATTATGAGCTAGTCCAAAGGGCAATGGGATCCTGCTGATCTGGGGACTGTTAAAGTAAAGTCTACCAAATAAATCTGAAATTCCATTTCTATATCAGTCTGATCTTTTCAGTATGTGCAAACCTCGATCTGCGATTAGAAGGATTCAATTTCAGTATGTGCCTCTTCTGCGAAGAAAATGAATGGATGGTGGACTGACAGACAGACAGCAGCAAAACAATTTGTTTTATATTTAGTTGGGGAAAACTTTTCACATAATTATGAAAAGTGTAAATTTAGTTAAAGTTAATTAATCCCCTGTTGGTTATGATATTATACATAAATATTAAATACAATGCTATTTTAATTTATATGTCACTGGTATGGATTTACGGAGCATGGAGGATACTTTGTTTACAAAATAAAAACATCCCTTGGTTTTTACAGCAGTTTTCAAGTAAACTCATTTAATTCACCTAGGGTAATGATACTTACTAACAAAGTTATAAATCAAACTATAGCACGTTTGAAACGTTTAAAACCATTTAAGCTTAGTTCCTTCGACTTTCACTTTCCCACCTCTGGCGCGTTTGCCTGGTTCTCTGTCACAGGGACAGGGAACCAGACTAAGAATTGTAATGGCCTAAGGACTACATCTTTCACCTGAAGCACCTACTGTTAATTTCATTTTCTCCCAATTTTTTATTTATTTTTTTTTACTTACCTGAAAAACTTAACTAGCAAAATAAAAAGGAGGGGAAATAGCCCAAAATCGAAAATCCTATTTCGTGAAGGGGGGGGGGGGGGGGGGATAGTGGATAATTTTTTTCTAGGACTTCTTTCACTTACAACCATACAATACTACATATCCTTGATATCATTATACTATTGTAACAGGTGGGGGGGGGAGGGGGCAACCATCATCTTTCAAAGAGACATTTTCAATAGTAAAGGTAAATAATGTTGGGAAAAAAAGTGGGAGTAACCCCCCCCCCCCCCTGCTGCTACGTCCCTGACTATATATTGAGTGGGTGGGTCTACAACTTTCAAATTTCAAAGTTTCGGTGTATTCAATGTGACGAGACCTTTCTTTAAGTACCACCAAATTTTACCTCTTGACTTTGACCTTAGAGTTTGACTTACTTTCATAAAAAATACCACACTTGGCTTAACTTTTGAACATGCACAGTACGTTGGCGCATAAACATGTATCCATTGTGACAATTAAGACTTTTCAGCTGGTATAAATATTTTTGACCTTGACCTAAGACTTTGACCCAATTTTTAAAAGCTTTAATTGTGGTCATAACTTTTGAACAGTTATACATGTATATATAATTTAATTTTACTTGTAACACGTCATTTGATTGGATAAAAGATTTTATCCATTTTGTATAACATAACTTGCCTACGTCACAATGAGTTACGTCAAAAAGCGTATTACTCCGCTTGACGTTACATTTGATTTAAAATTTAATCAATGTGAAGCCTTATCCTGGGGGGAAAATTGTCTCATTGTCTGCACTGAAATTAAATTATAAGGAATGAAGCTTATTTCAACTTATAGTTACGATATAACAAAACCCCGGGGGTAGCTTGTTTATAAACCGCTTCGCGGTTTATAAAGGGGAATCAAATTTTTACATAGAAATATATAGGAAAAATCTTTGAAAATTCTTTAAAACTGGGCCAGAAAAGCTTGAAACTTATTGGATATTTCACAGGTGTATTAATTCCTTGAAACAAGACCTTCCTTTGGGTACCAACATTTTTGACCTTGAACTTTAAGTTTTAAAAGCCTTTGAGATAATTCAAAACCCTTGCCTTAAGCTGCAATACAGGTACATCAGTGTTTTACAAACACATCTTGTTACCGGTAGTTCCATATACTAGCTGTATACAGGGAAATTTTCACCCCGTTTTATTTTTTGCCCCGATTTGCCTATCTCACAAGTGTGCTAATTTAGAATGGGTCGAAAACACAGAACACAGTTTAATTTCTTAAACAGAACTGTGACTGGGCAAATTTTGGGGAACAAACTTTTTACAAGTAAAATGAAAATAACAGGAAAAATCCCTTTAAAATTTCTACTTTACTTTCTCAAATTTATATTTCTCATTTTTACACAGAATTTCTACATTTGTAAGTATTAAGGATGTTTACGTCAAGAAAGTGGAAGGATGTGTATCATTCCAATAAGTCCTGAAATTCAGTTTTGAGACTGTACGTAATATCTAGATGAAAAGAAGTCACTAATTTTTTATTCTTAATTTGGCAGAATGGCCAAAGCTTCTCAGGTGAGCGATGTGCAACATATGTCATGTGGCTTATATATGGTATGAAAACGAGCAATATTAACTTTAAATCTGATGTAGAACTGATAACTGTAAATTTAAACAAAGATTAAAAGATCAAAATATTCAAAAGTGGAATAATGAAGTTCAAGCATCTTCAAAATTTTTAGCAGTATTAACTTTAAATCTGTATCTGAACCCCTGTAATATAAATATACATTAAAAAATAGAAAATTTCTGAAAAAGTATTCAATGACAAGCTCGTATTACCCACATTCTTACTTTTCATCAAAGGGGACACTGTTATTCAGTGAACATTTACAATTTTATTATATAGAAATGCATTTAAGTATTTAAGTTTCTGAAAGCAACACCAGATAATTATTATATTCATAAATTGCTTTCTATATAATTTTTCTTGAGTGTTCCATACTTTAATTGTCAAACATTCCAAAAACTAGCTATAAATACATCTGTGAACAACTTGATATAAACAAAAAGACAAGTTTGAATTTTGTCATTTGGTTTTATTCATTCTTAAATACATGTAAAAAGACATACAATATTGCATCTCCAGAGTCATACACACATCTAGAATTTCTACAAACAATAAATAACCTGGTATTTTTCTCCTCCAACCAGGGACAGCATCTACAGCAACCTCAAACAGAAATAGACATCATATGACTGGTCATGTGACCACCTGAATATCAATGACATGCACCCAATCTCTTAATTCGGTCTGTGATCATTTATAGTATACCTGATATTTTGTAAAATGTTCAGAAAATGAAAACCATCCATAAACTAGGTTTTCAGAGGTCAACACAGTTTACTTCCAATATACTGCTCCTCTGGCAGACAGTAATATATACAAATCTGTTAATTTTTGTTGTCAAATCCTCTCTTATAATTAAAACTCATGAAATAACATATAATAGAAACTCAATGTCTAGCATGGTCTAAAATATTTAAGAAAGTTTAACATACATAGATACATACTATACATATAATGGCTATTTAAAAAAAAAATCACATTTTACAGTCACGGGAAATAATGTTGAAGTGTATATAATGTAACAAATTCATTATCAGACAAACACTGGACATGAATCACTCTTGTCTATTGTGAACAACATATCATAAGCACCACTAAAATAGATTCCTTTGGTTTGACAAATTTTATTAGTAAAGAATGCAAAAAGAAAAAAAAAATTCTTCTAGTTTTTAAATCAGAAGTTTGACCTACAAAATTTCTCATTGTATTACACTTCAATCTTGTTAAAACTTGGAATGCCCCGTTTTAATTTTTGCAGATGTTAAATACTTTCAAAAAATTTCAGTAAAGGATGTCACTTTGAAAGACTATAATATATAATTTTTACAATGGCATGTAAAATGTAGATGAAATACAAAATGTTCTTGGTATGCACCCTTTAAAATGATTGAAAAACTTCATATGAACAATGCTAGCATATACAAATATGATCAATTTTTTTCCCAACATGTATACAATGCATCAGTAGCTCTAAAAATGCTACAAAACCATTACCCATTGTCAGACAAATGCAAATAATATATTTATTTACAAATTATCTTAGCATTCGCAACATGATATAATGTGTAACCCCTCCCACCCCCACCCCAGAAATCTCAAAGTTCATCAATTTATTCACAAAACCCTTTATTTTTGAATATCCAAGTTGAAATTTAATTCTTGATTTACTCTTTAGAAATCATTTGCATAAAATCAGCAACCTTCTAGTTCTAATCAAATGCCTCTACACATATAAAACACAGTCTAAAGTGGTTAATGAAAATTGTACATATAAAAATACAGGAAGGGACAAATTTGGAATGCAGTTGACAGAGTAATGCATCATAAATATTGGGGATCAATCAAGAATTTGGCCAATGAATAACCATGAAGTAGCCATATATTTTACAGAACTGTTTTTAAACATATTCATTCAATCAGAGCTTTTTAAAATCAATCTGATACCTGAATAGATTTAAGGCAGTGGCATTTGGAAATGTAACATGATATGAAGACAATAAAAGCAAAAAATCCTTTTGTTAATAACTGTAGTATATGTATACACATTTCTGAGTTTACATTCCAATTAAATGCCAAATTGAAGAAAAAAAAGGCTAAATCAGTTATACCTCTGACCTGCTTGGTCATAGCAAATCATAACTAATCAAAGAGCTAAAGATACAAATCCCAAGAAGATTAATAAAATGCTACTGAAAAATTACAAATAAAACAAAAACACATGCATCAACATACAGATAACACAAATGTACATGCTTTCATCTGTAATATTAATTTACATGTACCAAGATCTTTAACACAAACCTTAAATTTAAAGGTTTCAGTTTGTGTTCCCTGAGCATGTTGCAATGATGTTTTGAACACTTGCTCTAAATATTTCAGCAATGTAATTAACTTACAAGTAAAATACTTGAGTTAATGCAACTCTTATAAACTTAAAATTAATTTATACTATATTATATATAGTAATTTTCAGTTGTTTAATGCAACTGTGCATATGCTGTACAAAAATGAAATAACCCAATATATTCTACATAAAAGAAGATAAATAAAATGAGATCACATTTCGACTTTGTAATGCATGGACATTTTGCTATAATACTTTAACTTAATGGGTTGCATTGTAGTTCCTGTGTCCACGAAATGGCAGATGATTTATTTACAGACTTGGTCATCTTGTATGTACACTAATATCTCAAACGTAAAGGAAATACCAAGTATTAAAATGCCATCTCTGAGTTTTCTTTTCATTGTAAAATACTTGCTGAGCAACTTAGGATGGAACAAAAAATAAATGGAATTCAAATGGAGATAATAATGAATCAGATCAAATGCATTTGGTGTCCTAACAAGGAGTTGTCTCCCTTTGTATACACTTTCACACAATATAAAATGCAAATGAGCATTGACGGAACATTATGGTTAGGTGACTACTGTTAAACAGTGGCAGTTACAGATTTATACAATTAAACTTTTCATACGAGGGGAGCACCTTTGATTTTACACATTTTTACTCAATCACAACTTTGGAATTCATTATGCTTAACCCAAAGAGATCCTCATTGTAATAGCATTGTATTGCATCTGTTTCTCTGTACATCATTGGTCCAAAATTTTTATCACAGGTTTCTCTTGATGTGGCAGTTTTACTCCCAGGCGTGAGGGGATGGAGGGAGTTCTGAAGGCTGGGCGACTTGTGAACTGGAAATAAAAATAACAGAAATTATAAGATCTGAAAATAAATAGCAATGCTGACATGTATTTCGGGTTAATTTCATTGATTTTATACACAGTAACATGCAGAAAATAAAATACTAATAATATTATGAAAGATGTGCTTATTTTTCATGGCTAAACAAGACTGTGGGTTATATATGTAGTATCCTCTATCTATATTAATTTCAAGGGCTGAAGTGACTTCATAATATTTAAGATTTTCCTTCTTGTTTGAAAAATTCCTATGGGTTATCATAAAGAATATCCTATATGCAATTTTCATCAATTTCAGTTAAGCAAGTCTACATATTCTTTGCCAGTACCACGTGTGTAGTTTTATGACTAAGAAATTAAATAAATTTGTTTAATTGGAAAAAGAGGGAATTGCTCATCAAGGATTTTTTTTTTCGTGATTACTGAAGCTTGGGGGTTTTTTAATGACTGCAAATGAAGTGATGGGGAGTCACTGCAACAATGAATCAAAACCAAGCAGAAGAAAATAACATAAAAAGCCAGGCATGTACAATGTTCTAAGGTTCTTTTGCGCAGCAAACAATTTCAAATTTTCTCACACTGTGTACATCTATCTCTTCAAAGCCCCCTCCCCGGTAAATGGTACCCTAAAAATATAATACAAAGTTCATCAACATTGTTCTTTTTGTTTTTTACATGGTACTTCTCAGTTAATAATTTTTTCCCCACCCAACAAAACAGATTTGATGAACATTAGAAGTGTAAATAGGAGAAAACAAGAGGGAATAATGTCAAAGAAAGGTAAAAATGATGTAATAATTAGACTTAGCAAAACTGTCTTCAATGCTGCAGTGTTGTCCCCTTTTTTTGTGTTCATTAAAATCAAATATGCCAGTTGTTCTTTCTTGTGAAAATTTTTGAAACATTTTAAATTTGTAAACATTGAACTTTTTTCTGGATATTGTTTCCAGCCAAATTCCATTCACATAGTTTCCTGACAGGACCCATTTGAACACTAGCATTTTATACAGAGGATTATGGGTAAGTAATTAATGGCTGCATGGTTCTGTGTTGTTATCAAATCAAATAAGGTTATTTATAAATTATTCGTTAAGTAACCATCCTGGACTATGACCCAAAATGCTGGTTGGCACAGATCATTGAGATCAATGATTAAATTTGCAAAGAACTTCATTATTTTCCACTTGATTTTTCTTCATGTTTAACTCAGAAAAAGTATTAAAACTAAAGAGGGGGGACCATAGGAATTAGCACCATCTTTACCAAATTTTCAGCTAGTTCCTTATACTTATGGATGGTTGTGAGGTTTAAAATGAAAATTTTTACTTGTCATTACCAGTTCAAAAAACGCTCTTGAACATTCTTAAACTCTGGTAAACACAGTAGCTTCCACCTCTTTCTTTTCAATCTTACCTTGCAAAATTCTTGAATGACATGGAATTGGGATTGAGACATAGAGGAACTTTGTTTTTCTGTTGCTGTTCTAGAATATATTTGTGTAGTTTATCTGAAAGAATAAATAGCAAAAAATTGAAGAAAAAGTGTTTAATATGTATACATAGTACATATTAATATTCTTTAATTAAAATTACTGATGACTTTTGTGTTTGTTTTTGTCTTTATGTAATGAACACTGTACGATCTTCATTTCTCTGGACTGACGTTATTTTTTAATAAACACTGTTATCTTCTGTATACCTCTGCAATGATGCACTGAAGTCAGTCCATCTTCAAAGCCATAGCTGAAAGGCTGATGGCACACCGGTTCAAAATCTGAGGTATACTGACGTCCAGCGGATGTGTTATGGCAGCATTTACACATGCAGGAGTGGTAGCGCAACCGCCCCTCATCTAAATAAGGGTGAGCAAGGGCATCCGCTGCCTTTATTCTTTTATCCTACAAAGAGAACAGCAGAGTACATTACAGGGTTATATATAAAGCCAAGGTTATTTGGTAATTGAGACTGATCAATATTTCAGACCTTGTGATAAACATCACTGATTTTGTGATTTTTTTTTCTGTATATATGTTTTTTTTCTCTATTTCTCTTAAAAAAAAATATGTCCTCAGTATGGAAACCACAATTATTCATCAACACATCATTAATTGTTATTTTCCCCCCAGAATCAAACAAGATAGCAGTGTATTGATTGGAACTTGATTGCTGATGAGTGTGCCCTTGGCTACTTCTCAGCCAGTAATGGAACATCAAGTCAATATCCTAAAGACATTCACAGTAAAAGCTGTGAGAAAGGATGTTCTACCAGATTACTGAAGCATGACATTTACCCAGTCATTTACCCTTTGACCTTTACATACTCCTTTCCCCTTTCACCTGATGACTTATACTTACTGGATCAAAAACAAGCATGCGACATAGAAGATGCACGGCCTCATGGGAAGCCTGGCTGGATAGGGTGTACAGAGCAGCGAGCGATGGTGGTTTGTGTGCTGACCGCAGTATGTGAGTCTTGGCCCCTTCACAAGCTGTTCTCATATCCTCCAAGTTTGGAGTGCCCAAAAGATCTGTGATCAGGTCCAGCTGTAACATAATATACAACTATATTGAGACAAAATTTCCCCAATTTCCCCAATATTGAATATGGGCATGTATATGATAAGAAATATGATACTTTCAATTTCTGTTCATTTAAAATGTCACATTTTGCACTTAGTTTATATACAGGCTCATTGTTTTATTACCCATGGCATTTACCAGTTTCTGATTTTTATGTATTTGTGCCAGGACCTTTCAGAATATCAATGCAGTGTGTGGGACAGCAGAAGATCACTACTGTTAAACCAGTATAAAGTCATTATTTACATAAAAGGGATTAGGCTTCAAACTTGAACAGATGTAGTTTAGATAGGGCTCCTGTCAGCCTGAAATCTGCTGGTGGGGAACAAAGGCTGCTGAATGGCCAACCCCAAAACTCAGTGTAGTTAAAAAGTTGACACTCCATAAAAAGGTCATTCCTCTTCAAAGGTAACTCCGAAAATTCAGCCACATTTCACAGTCAACAACAATAACAACAACAGACAACACACCTAAACACACTCTGATTGGTTCAATATCACCATCACGTAAGATTACAACAACACGCCCACTCTGAGATCACGTTTGAAAGAACAATTCACACTGACGTAATCATCGCATTTACAGTCCAAAAATAAATACCGATACTAACAGAAAATCTGAAATACATAATACCAAGTAGGTATGAACTGTTAAGTAACAGACAATGTTCGTCACTACTGATTATCTTTAGCTTATAATGAGGTTCAATTACTTCAGAGAAAACAGTTCCTTGGATTAATAAACTTCAAGGCACCTATACATTATATAAGAACATGCACGAAACACCTGTTACATGTATAATTAATTTTAAGATTAGTAAATACATTTATTAATAGCAACATTCTTATATCCTGCTATACAGAGACCTCATATTTCAGTACTTTTTTTATGGTAAAACCTAAATACCCAATCAAGATAAAATATCCTGGGGTTGGGTTAGTTAAACAAGCAAGAAGGGCCAGTTCCATTGTCTGATAACAAGTGCTGACACGCACAATCACCTGTGCATTGTGTGCAAGCCAGGTGAAACATTTGTCCAACGGTCAGCAGAGTGTCACCCCCAGGGCACAGAGCACCACACAGAACCATCCACTTTATTAATGTCCTCTATACCTGAACCCAATTAAGAAAAACCCATTTTATTGCGAGCCCATAACTCATGCGGCAGATGGATGGAAAATCAAAGCCATATTCTGCAGTACTTACAAAGACAAAAAACATTAATGAAATAAGGAAATTCTGTCTCAAAGTTCTGAACCCCACATATTGATCCAAAAACGATGCCTTAATCCAATTCTTTAAATTCCTCTTAGGAATTTGATTCATAATACAAAAAGTATGTGTAGACAAAAGACTAGCACCTTTGTCATTACAAGTTTTGTTTACAATGTTTAAAATGTTGACCTGGATCACACCTTATCAGACTAGAGATCAGGATTAATGACCCAGCAGACATTCCACAGTTCTGCAGAGCCAGGCCATTTACTGCCATTTTAGCAAAAGTAGCTGAGGCACAGAAAATGACTAAAATCATTAGATGGCCCCAGTTCACGGTCTATTTCTGGGATGTCTAGCAATACACCATACATATTTACATAACCTTTCTTTTATGGTGGAGGCTTCAGCAATGATTGCTACATTATAACTGTGTTATGTCGATGATGGCAGCCTATGACTTATAGCGGCTGATGATTAAGGATTAGCCAGCTTTGGAGTGATTGTTGGCGGGTATATGTGTAATCCCTGTATTAATGATCTAACAGATCCCCCATCAAAAACAGCAGCCTCATACAGTTACACACACCACAGAAAAAAAAACATCTGTTACTGCATCAGGCAGGCAGCGGCCAGATACCACAGGGCACTAGATACATGAAAATTTACTTTTGATCTATTTCTGGCAGATAAATCATCCACCTCTCTGTAAATCTAGCTAATAAGGTACACAGTAAATTAATATAGATACAAATCTGTTACTTGGGTCTATTTACCCTCTTTTTCTTCTGATCAGGTCTAGCAGATGAATAATTGATGCAACAAATGACTCCATTGTCAAACATCCAGGTCTTTAATACAGAACCATTTCTCACATATTATTTTCACCAATATCATCATATGCTCTGGCTTATACAGGTTGAGCAATAAAGAAATGAACTTTTCTAGGGCTAATGCTTTTCTAATAGAGTCTGCTAATTTTTATCACTAAAGCCAGCGGGAGCTACAGGGGAAGACCTCATTAGAGCCTCATGTTCCTCTAGCAGATTTAATAACAAAATTACCACCACTGCAAGATAAACAGAATAAGTTTTCTATCTGAAAATGAATTTCAATTTTTTTTTTCTTCAGAGTATATGCAAAACACAGGATCATTTGCACTTGCTAAAAAACATGCTCCCCAGCTGTTGGTATGTTGCATAGTAACTTTATCTTATACTAATATTTCTAGGTGATAATGGACACATATTATATTTATGAAAACCCCAGACAATACGATGTTTTGCCAATACAGCACATGGATAAGGCATTCTAAATAGATATGGGTTCTACAGCTTGCAAACCAAGACACATCCTTTCATTACTGTCATATCACTAACAAGGCAAGAAAAATGACAACACTCAAGTTGTCATGATCCATCAGGGGAATTAAATATCACAATTTTTTTGCTATACATGTATAATCATTTTCTAAATCAAATTAGGGCTGAAAAGCCAATAAATTAGGTATGTACAATTGGTAATTACATCCTATGACTTGACCTGACTATTCACCTTAGCAAAATATAAAATCTCTCTCTTCATGTAGAACAATTTTTGTATCCAAGGTGAAACTGTATACAAACACATAGTAAAATACTCAGAAAGGAGAAAGTATGTGCCCTTGGACCTTGGTTGTATCAATTGTATGATGATTTAGTTTTTTCCCCCAAAAATTTAAAAATACACAAATCTCCTTAAAAACATTAACACAGCGACAGATTCAATGAATCTTCTAGGCTTCCAACTCACAATGAACCAGTAAAATCTATAAAATTATGCCCAAAAATTGAAAGCTGCAAGAAAGCAGACTAGCTAGATACAAAACTGTCTTGGCAAAGGCAAAAAGTACATTTGAAATCTGCTTTTTATCAAAATTTACAAATATGTTTTCAAACGACCCTTGAAAAATTTGTATAGGAAAAGGCCAAAATCCTCAGTATCTAAAGTAGTGAATACAATTATGGGTGTACTATAAACAAATTTGTGGGATATACAGACCTGCTGAATAGGACTTTGAGCCTGGAAGAGAATGCGACGACCCAGTAGTTCCGCAAAAATGCATCCTACAGACCAGATATCGACCCCTGAGTTGTAATGTTTGGCCCCCATAAGGATCTCTGGAGCGCGGTAGTATTGAGTCACAACCTCTTGTGTCATGTGGATGGATTCATCTGGCTCTTCAATTCTTGCTAACCCAAAATCACAGATCTGAAAGACATAAAAAGAGAAAACCCTGTTTAAGTTAATGTGTTGATAAAAGTTGTTTCTTTTTATGCCATCTGAAAAGATCTAAAAGTAACTGTATGAGAGATAACTTTACAACAGACAGAAAAAAGATACATGCATTTTTAAAAAAAATACTACCAGTAAATCGTGCAGAATACTAGTAAATTGCAATCACATAAAAAAAGCAAATGTTTTCCTTCACTCTGTTTTTTAAATTATCAACATTTAAATAATTACATTCTAAAATTTACTGCAACTACTATAATACGCTATATATTTTATACTAGCAATAAATTATCTTCAAAACTTCTAGAATTCTGCTGGTTTATACATTTGTTGGAAGGCATTAACCTTTTAAGCATATGATGGTAAAATGATGTTTAGTGTGGCTTGATGTCTTAATGCACTTTTAGGCAAAAGAGAGCAATGTTTCTGTTGTATGTCTATAGGAGTTTCATTTTTTTTATCTCTTCCTAATGACTTAATGAAGTGAAATTGGTGTTGCATGAAGCTTGCTGATCCTTTAATCTCGGGAATAATTGATACAGACCTTTAATACACAGTTGCTGTTGACTAGTAAATTCCCTGGTTTGATGTCTCGATGTAATACACGTGCAGAATGGAGGTATTTCAAACCTGCAAAATCATCGTAATTTACACCTTTAATAACATTTAAATAAGTGATAATGAGAGAGTATATTGTTTACCACAGAATTAAATGAAATGACAGTATTGTTACTAATGATTAATAAATAACATCATAAATTATATACAATGTATATAAAATATTATCAGTGATTCATTTACAGTAATTGTTTATGGACTTTTACGAGCAAAATGTTATTCTCTTTTCCAAATCACAGTCTTGATAATTATAGAATGTTTTTGTTTTTATCAGAAAATGGAAATTCCCTCCACATCTTTTGGGAAAATGGTACAGGAAAACGTCCTTACCTCTGAGTATTTGGTACAGAAAGACTTTGACATGGTCTGATGTGAGTGGCTGTGGGGAAACGATGATTTTGTGCAAATCACTTTGCATCAATTGTGTGATGACATAGCTAATATCTAGTTAAGGATCACATTTACCAATTAATAAATACCTACTTATGAAGACTTATCTCTTGTTCATTTCATTCCATTACAAAATCTCGAATTTCCTTTTTTATCCTGGTTTTATATACCGGTAATTCATTATCTTTGAGGCATATTTATTTACCATCATATCTATTCATAAACAGTCAGAACATCTCGTATTTCATCAAAGAGAAAGTATTTCACTCTGCTACAGCAGATCATTTGTTAACCTGTCTGGAAAATACCATCAAGGACCCTATTATGATACATATTGTATTTTATTTCCTTTGCTTTGTTAAAAATCAAATAAGCTCGACAACAGAATGTAACTTGTGGACGAAAACCTGAAAATGGATTCTTATTAAAAATTGAAAGATGTTGGATGATACTCAGTCACCATGGCAATATATTGTCATCAAGGAAATCTTTAACCTGTCAACAAATCTCGCACAAATAATCCAGGTTTCTGAACTTCTCCTACAATGCTTTTACCATTCCCCAATCAATACGAGGATTAGGCCCCCAGTACAACTTTCTCTAGCTTTCTTTCTCCCAATGGCTTCCTATTTTAGAAAGCTGTTATCCCTCTGTCTCCCTAATTATCAGTGAAAATCTATTTGTTAGAGCTTCGTCAGGGATATCATATTGGAAGAACAACACGTGTGGATAATAAATTAAATCCTCTCAGGTACCATGGTGAACCAAACTAGTACCACATCTCTCTCAGATCCAGCTATGGCTGAATTCACTATTAAAATCTTGATTTCTGTCACACAAAATGAAAAGATTTTCCTCATTAATCATGTTAATGCCAATAATCTGCCTAAAGCTTCTTTTAAGAATGAATGAGCATTTTCTTTCATTTAATTAATTAAATTTATCACTGTCATATTGACTTTATTCCTCTCCTTTCTTTGTTACGTAATCATTACCCGGTAAACACCCTTTGTCCAGTTAGTGTAAGGACTGGTCAGAGGAGCTTGTCCAAACAGGTCAACATGAGGTCACAAAAGAGGCAAGCCTTTCTTTATCTGGCCAGTAGGTGGATGATAAACCTCTTAAATATGTTCACACTTAAAGCAAAGTTATCCAGTGTAAAGTACAAATAACAGACCTGGCAAAGTGTAATCTAACTTATATCAAGATATACTGATTTGCCTTTTATCGAGCCTAACAAATCAATACAAAATCTTTTTTTAAATGCAGATCTGCCATATTTTAAATTTACATACATGTATAGTATAACCTGAAAATAGACACCACCCCTTTCTACTGGATTTAGCACTGGCATGTATTAATGATGTAGACAAAGAATCAATGGCGAATGTACTACTTACTATTTTTATAACCCAAGATATTTTTAGCTTTCTTAAACAAGTTTTTTTCTTTGTTAAGACATAGGTAAACACTTCATTAATCCAAATTTGCTACACCTACATCTAGAAAGCAAACTATTTTTTCTGAGGGAATTATTCAAAATGTAGTCTAGGTATATGGCCATGAAATACACACAATGTGACCTTTTTTCAAACCCCATGACTCTGTCTGTGAATGTGTGAAAAGTAATCCCAGGTAATGTACTTTCATGCCCCTCTTTAATCCATTCATTATTGCTATGAATAAGCTAAACCACCAAATTCTGGTCTATAAATAATTAGTCATTAATTAATACAGTCCGGTTGGCTGATCCAGAGGAACCACAAAATATAGGGAGCCAGTAAAATGGAACCTGGTCTGACTTCACAGGAATGGAACAAAGCCAGTTTATTTGTGCTCAGTCTTGCACAATAGTATTGCAGGTTGACACAATGAGGCCCTTAGAACAGCCACCATTTTTTGATGGCAGCAGCCCGGAATTAAATACCACACTTGATTTTAAGTCAATTATGACAGGAGAGGGATTTCACATAGAGAGTCTCTCTGACTTCATAATACAATTTTATTTTAACTTTCTGACTTTTATGAACTTAAGATTTTAAGGCAAATGACTTTTTCAAGTTTAACTTTGTGTCTGCAACCTTTGAACACACATTATTTTCTGCACAATTTCTTTCCCCTGGGAATCCCTGTGATCTCATTGGCTAACTCCGACCTAATTATTGGACTGTTTTGTACCTTGTCATTTGAACAAACAAGGATGTGCACTATGAGTTTCCTTGTCCGGACTCTTAACATCAGGAACTTTTTCTTGCGTACAAAGGGGGGATTAGATTATCTAATAATAAGGAAATAAAAAGGATACACTTCCTGAAAGAAGTCAATATGAGGTGGTTGTAGAATGTCCAGTGATGATAATACCTGTAAACAAAAACAAGGTCATTAAAGATGGTCTGCAAAGCAACTTCTAGTAAAAGCTCCCCAAACTTCAAAAATTTGTGTTTGTTTTTCTTTAAAAAAAACAAGTGAAAATTAACATTTAACAGCTCATGCCTAAACATAAAAGCACTTACAAGGTGCTCAAAATAGATGTATGTTTTCCTATTGCTTTTAAGCATGCATGATCTTAAAGAGCTTTCAAGACACTAAAATACTTTTTTTAAGCTGACCCAATTTCTCTGAACAAAAACTCTGGGTGACATCATATTAATGTAGTTTTTATGAATGACCATTAAACAAGTGGTCATTGGCTATCTAATGTGCATCAGGGTTAGAAGGTCAAGGAATGACAGGTGTCCTCAGGTGACAAATTTACAACAACTCCGACCATATTTCCTATATTTCTCTCTCTAGTTATTGGGACATTTGCTAATTATAGGAACTACTCTTTACAAAAGCATTTATGCATTAATTATGTTCTTCCTTTTTACCACAAAGATTGTTCAATGAAATTAAGCCATTAGCATCCTTAAAATAGCTGTACCAGTCTATTATATACATCTAATATAATCCACTTCCCATAACATGAATGAAGGAATGCTGTTAAAGTTCTTGAAAAATTCTTTAATGACCTATATATTTAATTTTTTTTAATGCACAAATCACGGCAAATAAAGATCAATAAACTTCAAAATTCATTTTTAAAGATGTTTAAATTGTTAACAGATTAGATGTCTAGCATTTTCCAAAGTGCGTCATAACCTCTGTCGTGTCAATTTTTGCACCTTTATCCAGGTGAATTCCAAATCGAAGGTCATGTCCTGTTTGGCTGACAGCCTGCCTGAACCTTAGAACTGATTGATAGCTTTCAGTTCTTGCTATAAAACTTATTCCACTTAACTTTTTGGAATTCTTTTACATATCATTTTTGATAAGATAAACCAATTTTTAAATCAATGTTAACTTTTTTTGTCTGGTGTTAAGACTTTCAAAAGAAAACTGAATACTTGAGATTGTTTTGTTATTTATAAGAAGGTCTTTGTTCTGAATATAAATACTAGTCATGAAAAAGTGAAATCCTTTGCGATTAATCTGTTGAAAGCAATTTTTTGGATACAATTATTGTATACAATGAGTGCCTTAGAAAAGTGTATGGTATGTATAGATAACACTCTCTAAAATAAAACTTCTGAAAGATGGCTATCATTGTCTTAAAAGAGCTGAATACCTTTTTTAAAGATCTACTAAGACGTTAAAGGTTTGACCCTCATAAAGACAAAAAGGGAATGATAAAACATAAAATATTCTAGAATCAGAACAAAATAAAGACTACTTAATAATAGGCAGCTGTCTAGGAGCATTGCCTGTCAAAGCTATGAAACTTTGCATGAATTAACATCTGGAAAACCGTGTTACAACCAAACGATGAGTTTCTCCACTCCGATAAGAACAAAGAGGTACACACAGAATATAATGGTTTTAGATCATACGATCATATACTTCTAGCCGATAGATGTTTCATTTTGGAATCCACAACTTCACACACCTAAACATGCTGAGTCAAAAGTCATATTTTTTCCTCTACTTTTTTAGACAAAGAAACCATGGATGGCTTGTTTGGGGGTTTTAATTGCATGTAAAAGTTCATTATCCGCAAGAGTGTTATTGGATCTATTTTTTAAATAGGAAATCATTCAGTCAGTACTTTATGGGGTTTATATGACAGATGTGGGTCAGATGTGGCCAACGACCTAAATAAAAGGTTGTTGTGTTTTGAACTTCTCTTACTAATGTCTGATTAAGTGATTAAAATGTATGACTTGATTAACCCCATCCAAATAAAAAGATAGATAGATATTGTTTCTATGTAAAATGAATAATATTTTCCAGTACTCACATTGTCATGCTTGAAGTGACACAACATTCGTAACTCTCTGTACACTCGCTTGCAGGACACAAGATTCTGGAAAACATTGGGCATTTTCTTCAAGGCGACTCTCTTACCATCTCTCGGATCTGTTACAGACCTGTGAAAACAGACAAAAGTCAATTCAAAATATGCTGCAGTAAGCAAATCCACACTTAAATATGATATAGTTCAAATGAGTATATATGAAAATTTCTTTAGAATTCTTTTGAAATTATAAACGGCGAAGTGATTGTGGGTTTTTTTAATTAAACAAAAATAAAATGTACAATAAATTATGTCCTTTTGATGATGCATGTAAATGTGATGAATCAAATAAGATCATCTTAATCATCATAGATCTTAACTTAGCAGCTATTATTAGATGTCAGGGTTACTGGGGTTATAAAATTCTCACTTGAAATGATAAAATTTTTGACATTTTTTGGTGAGTGTATGTTACAGAATTACAAGTTTGAAATCTAAATCGGTTTCTGAATGCATCCATGTTTCATAAATAGTGCATCCAAACTGGGAACCTTGAAATGTTCAAAACATTTATTTATAAACAATTTTTACCATCAATTTTACATCATCTGTCAATATTTTTACGAATCCATCAAACCTAACTTCAGAAAAATTATAAACAAGAAATAAAAAGCATTTGACAGACCTCATCCACTTAATTGTGTGACATATTTTTTCTGTTTTATTCTTCCTTGTCAATGAAACCTTTTTCACAATTTATAAAAATTTCTAGAATTTTGTGAAAACTGAAAATGATACTTTTAATTGTCAGTTATTAACTTGTATGTGTATAAACATAAGGCCTTAAATAAGAATAGAAAAATATTAATAATTGTGGATTTTAAAAAATTAAGGGGTGGAAAGTGAGCTATATTTCTCAGGACATAAATTAATCTTTAGCACTGTCTAGACATAACACTCTTCCTCTGAGTCTGTAGATATGATTAGATCCAGCATTCCTTTTGGTGTATATGAACTTGTGTATGTGTGAAGAATCTAGTTCACACACTGACATTATTACACAAAGTATACAGCTGGCTACCAGGGTAAAATCCCTGCTGACTCTATCAATAAAGCACAGCTCAGAAGGGAGTCAGACTTAGCAATCCATTCAACTAGGGGGAAATTAACTCAGTCATATTGAGCTATTTTTTATCTATTTGTTTGATAAAAACAACTTTCACCAGTTCAATTATATATAAAATAAACAAAAAAAAAAAATTTCTGTCAATAATAAAATAAAACACATTAAATATACTTTTATCTTATGAATTCTAATATTTTTCTATATATATATATATATTTTAATTTTGAATAAATTAATTTTATTAATGTTTTAATCTTTAATAAAATTTTGTCATCAGCGGGAGTGAATAACAATGGAATCTACATGATAAATCTGTTTTTCTCTGGAGTTCATTGTAGGTGGCTAATTGTTTATTGGATTGAAGTATATGAGTTGTGTGACGCAATACCCCCAGTAGTACTTGTAAAGTACAATGCTGATAATTATCCTCAACAAAAATTTCACACAATAATAAACGTCATATCCTTCTTAACTAAATAGTCATGATCTTTCTTCTTTCTTTCATTCAAAATCAACAATATCTTAAATCTAAAAAGTTTCTTACTGAAAGAGGTTTAAAAAATCAATCAAATTCATTCTATGTTTACAACATTAATTAAAAGAACATCATTTTATTTCACTAAATGACTAGAGGCTCGGAGATGTCTTTGTCTGGCCTCAGGTCATGTCTTGTCAACAAACAGCTGATCAGCGCACTCATGTCACACAAAGAAAATCATACGAATAAATTCCTCTATATTTCAAACACTGATATTAAAACATTTATGATGATTAGTCTTCTTTTTCTCGTATGACAAAAAATACTTAACAGAAATGAACAATTGATTTTTCTGGGGGAAACTCTTATTAATTCGTGCTTTCCGTGAACAGACTTGAATGGGGAACAAAAGGGGGGCGATATTCCTACTCACCAAACGACACCGAAAGCCCCGTAACCTATGGGTCTATCAGGCTGAATATCCTGGGGTGGAACAACTTGATAATAGGGCACAGCCACAGCAGCCGTCAGAATGGCCTGTTGAGAGGGGGCCGGGGCAGGTCCGCCCTGAAAAGCCATTATGTGACGTGCGTGTCGATGGCTCACCACCGCCATATCTTTCATTTGAGTCCTTTCAGGTGTCCGCACGTTTCCGTGTTGTTATTCCTCTATTTACAGTTCTATCATTGCCTTTCCTTGCACATTCACAAAGGTGTGTATCTCTCCTGTACACCTGGAGAGTTTGAGGTGCTAGTTTGAGTTAAAACTTAGACATAAAAACAATTTTCAACTGGTGTAGTGGGCTCCCTGACTCACACGCGGAGAGCTCTCAGCACACAAAGAAGTCACGTGATAACGCATAAAACCTTTCCCAGGATGCTACATTCTGGGTCAAAGGTCACAAAAACAAAACAGAAAATTCGTGTTTTCAAAGAAATGAAGTGAAAGCTTTTAATGTAAGTGTTTCATCTATTAAAAATTAATGTTTTCTTGTCATATAATCTAAAATGACACTTACCAATCGTTCCGTTTGGATAAAATAAAATCATTATTTCACATTCAAAGGCACGTGGCGTTTCTATAAATATATATTTTGGCCACGCCCCTTAACCTTTCCAAATCGGAAGCTTTAGCAACAATAGACTTGACGAATAAAGAAATTACAGACAAAGAAGGGTATCTGGTACATATACCTTGTTTTTCGTTTTGAAAGAGCACTGGTTAAAGATAAGAGACATTAAAAAATATGAACGTAAACTACAGATGCATATTTTTTTCGGAAAATTTCTGGCCTGCTAAGGTCAAACTGTTCTGCTGAGTTTGCATGATCACATGGGCAAAACTGCTTTAGTTATGAAAGTGAACTCACTATGTACAGTGTTATGTATATTGAACGGAAATCTCTATTGAAAATGTTAATTCAATGACCTTTTCGACAGGGTTTCTGATTAAGAAATGAATTATGATTTAGATAACTTCTGATTGAGAAAAATGATCAATTAATTACTCTTATTTCCATCTTGATGTCCTTTATATAAATTTAAATTATTATTATTAAAATTATTATTAAATTCTTAGTTAAAATTGTCTATTTTAAACTTTTCTTGCAATACCCATGTTGGATATTATAAAAATATGCTGCATAAAACCATACGGTACCTTAAGTAGGATTTTAGAAACTAGATGATATAATGATAATATCTTATATATTAATTTAAAAGATTAAAAGGTTGAAAAACATGAATCAATTTCAGAATTCCTGTATTTTCTACAAAGAGGTTTTATTTAAAAAAAAAAAATGATTTTTAAATCTATACTATTTACACATAAACTATGGAATGCCATGTACGACAGCCAACTGCTTACTGCCAACTGCTGACTGCTTACTGCCAACTGTCAGCTGCTTACTGCTAACTGCCACACATATTTGAATAAATTTTATTTTATATTGATATTTATGTGAATTTTCAAAAAAACAAAAACAAAACAAAAACAATAAAAATAAACAAGGCGCGGATCTAGAACATTTTTTTGAAGAGGGTCACTCATGTTAAAAAAATCTAACCCAGAAATTTCTTGACAAGAAAAAAAAAACGTAAAGTCCTTTACTTAATGTGAAAATTTATTTCGGCCGGGGAGAGGGGGTTCTCATGCGTCATACCTTCATGTCTATGAAATTTTTTATACCAACTTAACACGAATCCGTGTTTTCGGGGGTGGGGGTGATTCTTAGGTCCCTTTTAGTTGATTTATTTTATACATTGAATAACTTTTAGTTGGTTTAGTTTGTGCATTAAATAACTACAAATTTAAGAGGGTGGTCCGGACCTCTCTCTCTTTCTAGATCCATGCATGTAAAACATATTTTATTTGTATAGGATTAAAAGCAGAAAATAGTCATTTTATTACCTATTTCAAATAAGAAAATAAAAATAAAAATAAACAATGTACTTTATCAATGGCATATATTGAATATTACATAAATTAAAACACAATCATTTAGTCAGTTAATTTTACCAGGGTGACCTCTTGGAGAAAATGTCCTGGATCCGCGCCTGTTTTCTTCTTCTTCTTCTTCTTGAAAATTCATATAAATGTCAATACAAATATGAAATTTATTCAAATATGTGTGGCAGTTGGCAGTAAGCAGCTGACAGTTGGCAGTAATCAGTCAGCATTTGGCAGTAAGCAGTTGGCTGTCGTATATAATATATGGCATTCCATAATAAACTATTTTTTTTAAGACCAGAAAAATTTATAGATCCCTATCAACAAAGACTTCACCTGCTGTTTCATAAACTTAATTATTTAATTTAACTATACATAAATAGAAAGTTTAATTGTGGTCATTGTAAATGAGATGTACATAAAAGGAGTTAAATTAAGCTAGATTTCTATTTTTATATTAATTATCCCAAAAAATAGAACTGAATGAACATGTTGCTTTTTATAGTTAATTCTGTCAAAATCTAGCGAGAGACAAAAATATTTTGACCATTTTCTGCCATAAGAAAAGGAAAAAGAAAAAAAAATCTGAAATATTTCATATTACTTGAAATTTTCTTTTTGAAATTTGCTTTTTAATTGTGTGATTGAAAATGAAGTTATTTTACTAATTTACAAAGAAAAATGTTAATTTTAATTGTTAAACTAAAAAAGGAGTAACAGATTATGATATAAAAATCTTTTAAGTATATATAGTTATTAACATGTGAAAAATTGATAAAAGGAAATTGTTTCCTGAAGGTTTAAAAAAAAAATTGAGTTGGGCAGTTGGTCATGAGAGGGCAACCAAACAATTTTATAAAGATGGCCTTACTTTCATTTTTTTTTTTTTTTTATGAAACTGACTGGAGGTATAAGAGCTCCTCAAAATTTTTTAATAGAAAAAAGGATAATTTCCTTAATGATAAGCCCTACCAATGCATTTATTCTTGTTACATACATTATTTTATTGTGAACAACTGGTATTTTGAAATTGTCATTAAGAGTTAACGGTACCAGATTTGTGGATACATGTAATGTTTAGCTTACCTGAGCCTAAGGCTCAAATGAGCTTTTCTGATCACATTTTGTCCATATTTCTTGAAAAAAATCTCATTTCAACTTCTTCTCAAGAACCACTGTGCCAATTTCAACCAAACTTGCTACAAAGTTAACCCTTGAGTATTCGAGTTTGTTCAAATGAAGGCCCACATCCTCTTCCAAGCATGGATGATTATGAATTATAACAAGCATTTTGTCATATTTTAAAAATCTTCTCAAGAACCACTAGGCCTGGAAAGATGAAACTCAAAGTGGAAGAAAGTACATTCAGATTTGTTCAAATCATGATCCCTGTGGGTAGAGTGGGGCCTGATTTATAGTGAAAAATCAAAGTTTTGCATAATAATATATTATAGGAAAAATCTTTAAAAAATTTCTTCTCAAGAACAGCATGCATGCAAAGCCATGGTTGGTAAAATTTATATGGAAACTACCCGGTAGCATCTTCAGGTAATGTAGATTTAGAATTTTTGGAAGAAAAAGAAAAACTGCTTGAAAATAAGCAATTCGTACAAAATATGCTAAAATTGCTGGTGGGGGGATTTAACTTTGTTTAAAGTTAACCCCCCACCCCACCCCACCCTTCCACACACACAACTATTTAGGGGTTGGACCATTTATGCATTTAAGCTTTTGAAAACTGAACTGATGTTTGTTTTTTCATAGCCACAGTCATCGTCAGAACCCACAGGTTTTCTCTCCGTTACAAATGCAGTGTAACGGAGAGAATACCCGTCGGTTCTGACGATCAGCCACAGTGCTCATGTGAGCTATGTGACTCATGGGCCTCTTGTTTGTTTTATTACCAAGTGCACCATTATATCTTTTAGAGAATTTAATGGTCAGGACTCAGGTGGCTATTTAAATGAATTTTTTTTCATTATTTTACCATGAATAGGTCCCTTTATCATAGCCTATGTAAATTGTCAATTTCTTTTTAAGACTATCAGAGTTTTCTCCCTTTATACAGAGTCACTAAAGAAGAGAGAGCAGTAAACATACAGTATTGATTTCTATTTTAATTAATTGTCATTTTATTTTTGAAAGCATTATTAAAAAGACCACAGTCTTGAAAATAATTAGAAATATTAAAAAATGGAAAATAAAAAGGAATTTGATCAAGATACACTAGTGAATGCTGATCAACATCAGAAAAAAAAAATCATAAAAGAGACAAGTTTTTTTTTTCAGATGACAGCTAGTTGGCCAGGGGTAAGGAAAAATTACAGTGATAAAACTTACAATAATATTATAAATTATCTGTATAAATTCTTTTGACTTGGGTTATTTTATTTAAAAAGAGAGAGAGAGTTAAAAATCAGATCTTTGTAACACTCCGGAATTCAGATGGTTGCTGCTTATAAATTATATAAATTTAAAAAAAATGAATTGATTCTAATTGTGTAGAACATTGGCATTATATTCTTGACTGGTATCATTCACTTAGAGAAAAATATAAGGTAAGTAAGCAATTAATATAAACAGGGATATTTTACATATTCATTAAATCTTTTAAGGAACAGTTAACATATCACAGAAGAAAAAATATATCATATGTGTTAATTTTCATGGAAATAAATATATTTCTATTTTTAATTATCTGAGGATTATAGGCTTCCATTACTAATTCATTCAGCAAAGAGAAATTCTTTTTTCTATTTCTATACATTGCTGCATTTTCAAAAGGATACTGTATGGTGTATGAAAGTGGGCCTCATATTTTAGCATCATTGGTGAGGACATTGATACATAGAGAATTTTACATACTAAAATCCATATCATATGTCATATCAGCTCGAGGGCCGAGGGCTGATATGGGACCCGAGGGCTGATGTGACATATGAAATTGATTTTAGTATGTAGCATTTTATTTATCATATATATTTAAAATACATGTACTCAATATGCAAATTCACATATGGTCATTGAAGAATGTTTCCTGTTGTTTATGACATTTTTCTTTAAAATCTAATAGAGCCAATTTTAGGTAACTGAAAAAAAGTTAAGACCACAAATGTCATTAAAGAAGTAGTTTACATGAAAATTTAAAAAAAAAAGAAAGTAAAGTAACTTTTTAACTTTATACAAACGTTACTTCCGGTTTGATATGGGTTTTCGGCCTGCCCTTCTGATACATAATATGGATTTTCGGACCGGTCCGTGATATGGGGTATTGTGACGTCACCCGTATCACATCGTGCAGAATTGGTGTATTTAATACTAAGTATATGATATTTAATATTTGATATTTGATTAAACTAAATTATACATGTACTGATAGAAAATCATATAGATATGAAAAATAAGTTGCAGAAGTGTGTATTATAGGGCTAATTAATGAATACACTAACAACCCTGAAATACCTTGTGATTATGCAAAATTTTGAATAGACCAATTTATATATACCAGTACAACTACAGTATTTACGTACTGGTAAGATAATTAAAAAAATATTTTTTATTTAACAGTCAATCATATGTTTCCTTTGCAATATGGAAAGGAAGTCTAATCTTTAACAAATATCTATAAATGTGAGATAAAATTGGAGTGGGGGATACATGTATTTTGATTTGACATTAATTTTCTTCTTTGCCATTGTGCATGAATACAATGATTATAGCTATTTACTGCTTTGCTTTAGCTGGCACAACATTATTTACAATGTAAATATGATATGTACATTTCATCCCTTGTAATTAACATATGGTAAACATAGTAATGGTTATTTGCCTTACAGGCATATATTTTTATTTATGTTTTACATCTCGTCACAGGTGTATCAGCTAATTCTACAAAGTGGCTGCCTGGGAATACAGTGACCTAGAACCTTGACAGTGCTACAATGCCTTCAGCTGTCTGTAAAATCATTCACCCCTGGAACAGTTGCTAACAGGAAAGCTGCTTGAAGGTGGAGAGAATGTCCTCATCGTATTCCATGTGAGGTAAATATAATTTGATCCCCTCTTACGACAGTTCGGTTTTAATAATGACTTCCAGATATAGAAAACGTTTAATTAAAATTTTCACTTTTTCCACCATGTGTTATAGCCCTAGTTTTATTATTGATTAGGATGACAGCTAGGGGAATTTTTTCCTAGCTGACTTAGTTAAAAAGCTTTGCTGCATTTAAAGATGGAAACGGTGTGTAGTATGATCAATAAGTTGTCTTCTTAATGAATATTTAATGTCCTCCTAACATAATGCCTGTCATGTAGTAATAAATATCTAATGTCTGACATTCTGTGCCTGCTAATTATGTGCAGATCTAAATTAATGAGAACAGCTAGTATAGGTTCAGAAAATGGAGCTGTCATCACACAGTGCTGAACATGGAACATTTCAAATTTTGTGAAGTGAAATTTTCTTCTCAATCATTTTTTAAATCAAAAGACAGAGTTTAATTGTTTTCATAAGAGTACAGGTAAACAGTTATGGTTTAATTATAATAGTATTACCTGTAAGTGATATTATCTAGTTTGCTGATCTCTGGTTAGAGAAATTTCTTTTACAAACAAAGTTATTTTAGCCCACTTGTGTCATAGACTTAAATGAGTTTTTCTGCTATTTAAATTCAATCTTTTTATGCTTATTTACATATTGATGGCAGGTATTCAATTGTATTAAATAACATTTTTCCTTTACCTTTCTTTTGAAAATTTGACATCACTAAAATTTGTGTTTTGTTCAATTTCAAATAACACTGATTTTTACTGCTTAACGTCTGAAAAGATCTTTTTTTCAACAATAATTTTGTTGCTTATCAAATTTTAAAGCTCCAATAACACATTTTATTTTTATGCTTGATTTCCACATAATGAATGACTGAAAAGCAGTACTAAGTATGTGCTTTTGTTTTATAAAAATCTATATTGATATTAAATAACATGGAGTTTCATTAGAATTATTGGAAACATATGGCCCTTTACCGTGTATTTTTTAGGTTTGACTACAGATTGATAGAAACTATTGATAAAATCTATACATTCCATCAATTTTTGAAAAATGTTTTTTTTTTTTTGAGAGAGAGAAATTTATAGAAAAAAATCTTTTGATTGTAATTTTTGTGCAACAGGTATTTTGTTGAATCTACTTAGTCAGTTTCAGAGCTAGTAAATTAATAGAGGAGATTGTTTCTTAATGAATTTTTTAATGTGAAAAATCATATCTATTTATTTGGTAAAATGCCTTTGTCTGTGTAATTAAAATATGTTAATCTCAATAAAAGCATTGTTTCAATGAAAACCTTTTTGTGCAATCTCAAATCTAAAGAGAACACATATTATTTCTTAGGAATAGTGAGCTGTTTGCATCAAAACAATCATTTATGAATATGAACATTTCAGATTTTGTGAAGTGAAATTTTCTTAGAACTCAATTAAAAAAAAATTTTTTTAAATCAAAAGACAGAGTTTAATTGTTTTCATAAGAGACAGGTATAAATTTATGATTTAATTATAATAGTATTACCTGTAAGTGATTTTAGTATATTCTAAGGCCAAAAATAAAAATAGTCTTTTCCTGATCTCAGACCTAGAGAAATTTTTTTACAGCCCAAAGTTTTTATTTAGCTCACTAATGTGTCAGCGACTTAAATGAGTTTCTTTTTCCAAAAGTGAAAGCAATATACACATTTTTTCTTGAAATATATATGTTTTATCTAAACAACTTTTAAAGAAATATTGACCAATGACATATTTAATTTCTTTTTAATAGTTATCCAACATAATTGTAACATTTTTCCACCTTTTTTTTAACTTTTCTTTTTCTAAAATTTGTTTTTGGCCAATTTGAATCAAGCATATACCTCTCAAAGTTTTTAAAGCTGGGCATGTCAATGATGGAGATCTTTTTTTTGCAACATTTACTTGTATCTTTTATTATGGTATAGTCATTAACCCATGAAAGCTCCAATAACACATTTTATTTTTATGTCTTTTCCACCTATAATTGTGATTTCCACACTTTTTTTTCTAAACCTGAATATCAGCAGGGGGCATGCATTTCATTAATTGATAAATTATACTGAAAAGCTGTAACAATCATTCAGTACTAAGTATGTGCTTTTGTTTTAAGGTCAAGTGTACCAGATACTATATTGATATCTGTCTCTAACAGGAGACTGCATGGAGTCAGAAAACAAGGAAAAATCAACATTAGAATTATTGGAAACATATGGCCCAGGAATGTAATTTCATTCACGCTGATGCCAATCCGTGTATTTAATCTAATTAAACTTTGCAGGTTGAAATAGGCAGTATGATCATCCACCTAGGGAGAAACAGCTGTAGTGGTATGTTCTTCTTTACAGATAGGATAAAACTAGATTGATAAAATCTATACATTCCATCAAAAATGCGTTTTTTTTTTATGGAGAGAGAGATTTATAGAAAAAAATGTTTTGATTGTTGTAATTAACTTTGTGCAACATCAAAAATAATATTTGTTGAATCTACTTGGTCAGTTTCAGAGCATAATTGTAAATTAATAGAGGAGGGTTTTATAGGTTTACATGCATTTCCAACGACAATTTTGTCAATGCTGAAAAATCATATCTATTTATTTGGTAAAATGAAAACCCCTTTTTCCTGTGTAATTAAAATATTTGTTACTTCTCAATAAAAGCATTGTTTCAATAGAAAAAATGCTTAAAAACTTGTGCCAATACCTCATAATCTTTTGTTTGAACACTACTGTTATTTGAATATTAAAAGTGAACTGAATATTTAATACAACATTTATAGAACAGATTTTTTAAAATCATATAAAGTCTCTTCTTATTTACCCTGTACTTTTATGTGACATTAATGCTAAATAAATTTTTAACCAACAATAAAATTTTATTTCCAAACAAGTTTACCTGTGACATTCTTTTAGAAATTTTATAATACAAAATTTTTCCAAATCAAAGAGGAGTCTCCAAGCTCTGATTTTAGATGTGCTTATACAGACAGACAGACAGACATTAATTTAAAACTCTGTTTCAGGTAAGGATTGTTAACTCTCATATCTTATATGCGCAAAAGTTTTTCATTTCAATATATATTAAAAAAAATTAGATACCAGGTAAATTTTATTTGATTTTACAAAAATCATTGCATAAAAAAAATTGATTTATTATGTTTATTGGCTTTTAAAAATTATTTAAATTTATAGAAAGTTAATAATGTTAAGCAAGTGATGCATTTTACAAACTTTTACAATTTCAACTTCAAACTGTGTATATTTACAAATATACAAAATTTTAATTATATGGGTACTTGAAAATCGAAATTTTAAGCGTCGTGGTCCTTTATAAAAAGTACAAAGCATTTTTTGATTGTACAAACATTTTCTAAAAAGTTAGTGGATTCTGTGTGAAATATATAAGGAAAATAATTAATGTGTCATAAATTGCAGTTTGCAATGAATATATATGCACGTGTACCGTACCTTTATTTGAAATCTCTCTTTGGTTTGAAAAGTCAATGTACATGCCAATGACTATTCTTAATTTCCGATTTTTTTCTTTAAAAAAAGGACGCGCTTTACATTAATTCAGCAATTCTCAAAACATTGAAAAAGTGCATCTTTACAATTATGTATGTGCTATGATAAACAGTATATATAGATGAATGCGATATATCTACAATATATAAATAACTGTCCCACCTGTTTGTTTACCGGCAAAGCGACATTTTTCAAAATATCAAATTTTCATGCTTTGAAATAGCTTATTGTTGTTATAACCTACGGACTTGCATATTGTTATGTGATTTGAAAGTTATGAACTAAATGATTTAAAAATTAAAACTAGATACAATATCTTAAAACAAATTTTAACTGGTAAATTTGACAACTAGGCGATCGTAACACATGTATACCTCTCAAAGTATTACAAAAGCAATGGATCCTCAACACTCGAAAAAAGTAGCTTTTAAAATGGAATGGAGATTTTACATTTAAAACAAACCTATTATACCTCTTTTCTTTATAGGTGCCATATAGAAAAGTCATTAACCCATTATAAGTAGCAGAAAACAGCATTTATGTTGTGTAGAAGTCACTGATAACTTTAAAACTAGTGTTTAGTAAGAAAATAAAGAAATAGGATATCTTAGAGTTATCATGAGACTAATATGGAGGATTAACAAGCATGAAGAGTGAGTTTTGATTAATTTTAATCCAAGTGTAATTGATTATGTATCCAACTATCCAACCAAATTAAAAACCAAAGGACTTGGACCAGATTGACTGTTGGTCTACTGGTTTGTACCTATAATGATCAAGTGGGGAAAAAAACAGGCCTTGGAGAGAAACACAAATGAATGCATGAATTAAAATTTGCAGTTAATTAAAAAAAAAATAATTGATAATAAAGAATTTTCAGTAAATAAAAGAAAAGAACTTGACAATACTTTTCACTGAAATCAATAACAGATATGAATTATTTGCTGAGGGCTGGTGCTCAAATACACCCATTTTTCTTCAAGTTTCTATAAATTAAAATAGTAATTTTACAATGCCTGTCTTCCAAAACCTGATCTCTCAGAGAAAACTTTTTTTTACTGGAAATGAAAACACCAATTCTCTACTTTATATTGATCATTTGGATATGGTCAGTTAATTGGTGTATGGTCAGGGACATTTTATGGATATAATGAACCTAGCTCTTTATTTGGAGAAAAAAAAGTTATATATGGCCCTTCTTTCCTCTAATTTTTTATGGCCTTACACTATCAAAAATCACTTAAAATATATATAGTGACAGTCCTACATTGTGCAGTAAATCATGCATTGACATAATTGTCAAATGAGATGAATGCTAAAAGGGTTTGATGAACCATATGGCTAAAAAGTGTATGATGGTTCTATCGACTAATTGCGGTTGTCAATTGCCTCTTGTTGACAGTTTTGTGTTTTACTTGGCTATATCAGTCCTCTAATCTTAAAAAAAGGCAAAACAAGTATGTTTTGCCATTATGAGGTCATATGTTTGCACGGCTATATCTGGCTTTAAAATCTTAAAAATAAAGCGCAAAAAAAATGTTTTGCTATTGTGATGTCATGTGCAAAGTCATTTAAGCTAGCTTTGAATATAAAAATGTACAGAATATTTCGAATGGAAAATTAAAGAAATTCCTTAAACCTCCAAACAGAATAATCTCAGATAACATATTTAACCCTGTACTTTTATGTGCATGGTACTTGCAGACAGTGGTCTAAGTTTAGAGGATATAATTCACATTCCAGGTCTGTTTACCTGACCATTATTTATCGTGTCTTCATATACTGTTACCCAGAGATTGAGGATGTAAGCCATATAGATGTCTGATTTTAGGAATGTGAAGGAGACCTCCCATGTAAGAGCTGGATACTCCCTGACATCTTTATTAATTTAAAACTCTGTAACAGGTAAGGAGCTGTCTTCATCACCTTATATGCAAGTTTTTCATAAAATAGATATAAAAAAAATTTAGATACTAGGTAAATTTTATTTGAGGCACTTTTTGATTTTATTTTGCAAAAATCATTTAATATAAAAAATATTCATCTATTTTTATTTTTCAATGTTTGATTGCTTACATAATTCATTTACTTACATTGCTTACTATTTTTGTTCAGCAATTTGTGATAGTTTTCACAAACTTTTATAAAATTTCAAACTTCAAATTCCTTAGTATAAAATTAAAGGAAAGCAATACCAAAATTTTTGAATTAATAATTAATATTCACATCAGATTTTGAATACTAGTGCTTTCCTTTTTAGATAAATACTGTGTAACATTTACTCAGCAATCTTTTTTGCATAATTTTTTGAGCATTTTGATCCATACAGACAGACAGACAGACACTGAGAAAAGTGATGTCTGTGTGTCACCATGCTCTGCAGGTGATACAATAATAGTAACTTAATTAATATGTATATACATGCATTTTGTTAAGAAAACTATGCAATATATATTCATGGTTTACCCACTGAACTTTTGTTTGATAATTCCTTGGTTTCAAATTTCAATGTACATGCAAATGACTATTGAAATAATTTCATAGATATTTTGACTAAAAGTCAATGGATATGAAATATACTGGTAACTTGGTTCAATAATAATTTTGCTTATTTGCACCTGTCTTGGGTTAAGCAAACACTTGCAGTGAAATAAAAACAAAGTTTGAAATAGGATATCGTTAACTATACCTTATCACATTAAATATTGATCATACTTTTGCTGTAATCAATGTAATATTTTTCTTCACAGTGGAACGAATTCAGAAAATATAAGTTTAATCTGGGTAACTGTTTTATAGTTCAGGATAAAAATGAAGATAGTTTTCTTGAGTGTGTTGCTGTGGGCCAGTGTCCTCTGTTTGGATTTTAATTACCATGACAACAGTAGACTTGAACAGTTCCTCCAGAACATGTCCAGTATCTACCCAAACCTGACCAAGCTCTACAGCATCGGAAAATCGGTAGAGAGTAAGTATATATTATTAAATGTAATGTTGGAATCAGGTTTTTTTTTCTTCTGTTCATTGAGTGCATATATCTTATTCAAAAATCTACCTGCCTATCTACTAAAAGCACATATGCTGATAAATATGTATAACAAAAAAAAAGGTTTGTGTCTCTGAATTGGATTTGAGAATGCCCAGTGCTTTATTACAATCATTCTATTGGGATAATCCACCAACCCATTAGTAAGATGCCATTTATCTTGTACTACCACATTGATCCCTTCCAAAAAAAATAAGATATCCTTTATTTTATTAATTGCCAGATATCTTAGTCCTAATTTTGTGTACCAAAATGGATTTGAACCCAGGACCTGCTGGCTTGCCAGTCCAGTACCAATCAAGTTGCTATTATATTTAGTGTGTAAGATATTTGTTGGAAATTGATTTTTGAAAAGGTTAGCGAAGATTTGATTTAGCGCATTTCTCAATGTTCTTTTTTTATGTCTATATGTACAAGACATTTAGCGTTGTACTTGAATTAGAGGAGGGTTCTCTCCGCCAAAAGTGCTAAAAAGAATACACAGCCAAGTGTAATATGTTTACAGTATAATGGAAAAACTATATTAGCCATGCTAGTAGGATGCCATGAATCTTACACTTAAACACTTCAAAAGTCATGCAAATGCCATCATATGAAAAAGATTTTATGTTCTCCTTTCTTTCATATGAAAAACACTTCCTCAATCAGTAAATACTAGTAAATCCCCTTTTAAGCCATCTGTATAGGTAGGTTTCCTATGCAGATCAATGTAACAATGTCATACATATCAGTTATCTTTCTTTGTTAGTATTAGAATTAATGTTACAGCTATTGCAGAAAAAAAAATTCATGCACAAATCCAACCACACGGCATGCCAATTTAAGACACAGTTTGCTAAATTTCAAGCATCTGTGAAGAGCAGTTGCTGAGAAATCTATGACAAAAATTTGTAATGGACAGTGAGACAGCTAGACAGACAGACAAACACACAATGACACAAGGGTAAAACAATATACATCCCTCTCCTTTGGATTAGGGGAATAATTAGTTCAATAACACTTAAAATGTATTATTTTTATGCAATAACTGCAATGATCCCTTCTATCAAATATAGAGTATCTTATTGCATATTGATAACTTATGTGTAATAATATAAACTAGAGGTACTGTGAGCAATGAGCTCACTAAATGATACCCCCCGCCTCCCATATGAATATAATGGCAGTGTCCATGTTTTGCTCTGGAAAATCCAAAATATATGTCAGATCAAAAAGTAAAATAGGAGGTGCATAATGGCAATATGTAATGAAGATTCTGTGAAAGTTTCATTAAATTTCCTTCAGTGGTATGAGAGGAGTTGGGGATAAGAGATGGGTACCCCAAAGCGTAACAGACAGACGGACAGACGGAAATACTGATTACTATATACCCTCCCACTTTTCAAGCTGGGGGTATAAATATAATATTTAGTAAGATCAAGAACAAAATGGGAATTTGCCAAGAATAAAGAATCAAAAAAAATTATTTATACCACATTATAAATCATATTGTTCCAATGTTTTTATAATAGCAGAATAAACTTGTCTTTCGTAGATTTGTTCAACATGAAAAAAGGGTTAAGGATGGTTTGGGTTATATATGAGTTTCTTAAGCATTGCGCCATTGCCAAATAAAAATATGTATACTGAAGACATAATCCTTTTAAAATTCTTACATTCAAGGCCACACAAATTTGAAAACTGTTATTGTTTTATGAGGCCGGGTTGATCCAAAAATAATGACACTTGAGGTACAGTTGCATGTTACTATGAAATCTGTTTATTTTCATCATTTAATTCATGTAAATATATATATTTAAACTTTGTTTGACTTCATGGGTCCTCTTCCCATTTTATTCTCGATCTTACTAATTTTTTTATTTTATATTATTACACATAAGTTATCAATATGCAATAAGATGCTCTATATTTGATAGAGGGGAATTAACAATGCAGTTGTTGCATAAAAATAATACAGTTTTATAAGCACGGTTATTGAACTAAATATTCCCCTGCTCCAAAGGAGAGGGATGTATATTGTTTTACTCTTGTGTCATTGTGTAAATGTGTTTCTGATGATATGCTTGCAATATTTATAATGAAACATTTTACATTTATTGACTGGGTTCAAGGACAACATGCATTTTATGAACCACCATAAGCCAGACATGATAGAATGTGAAAACTTTATTATACATCTAGATACCTGTAGTAATTAAAGATTCCTTGGACCAAGATTTGTCCACAGAGGGAAATAAGGGTTTTACTTAAAAATATTTTAAAATCTATTTTTGAGAACCACAAGACTTTACATTTATTCGCAAGCATCAATATTCATTACGGTAGATTCAGGTTTGGGGGCCAAAGCAGGGGAGAGACAAAAGAAATGAGGCCAAAGATTTACTTAAGATATTCATCAGAACAGTCCTCACAGCTAAACCATCTATTGTTTGCACAACTTTTATTTACAATTTATAAGTTTAAAATCTATCTGCAATTACACTTTAATAAAGTCTGAGAATAAAAAAAAAGTTCATGGTGAGAAATTTTCAGATGTAAATGAGAGTCACAAAACTTGCAGATGGATCCTCACACACAAGTTTTCAGTGCTTCGGTCTTGTAGCTTTCCCATTACTTGTAAATGTGAGTTATTATAAGTCACAGACAAGTAATATAGATGCATTGGACACAGTCCCAAGTGCTTAAACTTTTGGGTGCACCTTATAGTCTTCTCAAATACATACTGTAGAAGTACTTTTTTCCGCGTGGTATTAATTTACGCTATGTACGCGCTCACAATTTTTCCGCGGAAATTTGTACAAGCGTACTTAATATAAATGTAAGGCATATATAGAAACAATCTAGAAAATCCGCGTAATTTTCTACCCGCGGATTAAACAGAAACTGAGATTCCGCGGAATTATGACCCCGTGGAAAAAAGTACGTCTACAGTATTTCATCACAGAATGTTGTACAGAATAATCTAGCTGATGCCAGGCTGTAATTCTTTTTAAATGAAAACTTACTTTAAAGAGAAACTCCTCATATTTTGAAATTGCTCTTTATATTTTCAGATAGGGATCTTTGGGTGATAGCTATTGGAGGAAATCCAGACAGACACGAGACACTGCGACCACACGTAAAATACATAGGCAACATGCACGGGAACGAGGTAATCATTGGAATCTTTATTCCTGTCTTGGATGTATTTTACCAACCCCCAAAGTTCCTTAAACTTTTTTCTGTGAATAGTCATGGATCCTGATGGCTAGCTGTATTTCTGACAAACTATAGTTTATGTCAAATGCCTTTTGAATTTCCTTTCATATTTTCAATTTCCTCTCCATAACATTTTGGCAATTTAATAGCTCACACTGTTAAGATAGTAATTTTGATGGGCAACTCCAAAGAATATTGTGTTAAAAAAAATCAAATTTTTCATAAATTAATAAAATATTGTTCTTACAGGTTGTAAGTCGCGAGGTACTGTTACATCTAGTGGACTACTATCTGACGTCATACGGCAACAACGACACGATCACGAGCTTCCTCAATAACACTGTCGTCCATATCATGCCCTCCATGAATCCAGACGGCTTCAGTCAAGCAACTGTCGGGGACTGTAATGGAATTGTGGGGAGGCAAGTGTTTAAAAAATGCTTCCTTTAAGTTGTGTGCTTAAATATTGTGTACAAAAATAAAATTGTTTTTAGCTCACCTCAACGAAGTTGGGGGAGCTTATGTAATACCCTCGGCGTCGGCGTCGGTGTCGGCGTCGGCGTCGGCGTCCCAGGTTAAGGTTAAGTTTTTTGGAGCAGTTTTCTTTTTAAGTACTTCTATGTCCTATATTGATTAGACATGCATGGAAGATGGTTCTAGTGTGTTTCATTGTACCAGTCAAAGTTTCAGATGCTGCAGTTTCAGCAAAGGAATGACCAGGTTAATGTTTTTGGAGCAGGTTAACATTTTTGGTGCAGTTTTTGGTTTAGATTTCATTTCCAAGTAACTATAAGCCCTATGTTGACTAAACTTGCATGGATGATACATCTAAGAATGCATACTACCGGGCTTGCTTCGGATGCTGAATCTGACCTACATTTTCCGGTTGAGTGAACAGGTTAAAGTTTTTGGTGCAGGTTTCATTTCCAAGTAACTATAAGCCCTAAGTTGTTTTTTAGGCCATTTTTACAGAGTTTTGCCCCTTACTTGGAAAAATTCCAAACTTGCATGGATGATACATCTTAGAATGCATACTACCGGGCTTGCTTCGGATGCTGAATCTGACCTACATTTTCCGGTTGAGTGAACAGGTTAAAGTTTTTGGTGAAATCCGGTTTCATTTCCAAGTAACTATAAGCCCTATGTTGACCAAACTTGCATGTATGATACATCTAAGGATGAATACTACTGGGCTTGCTTATGATGCTGAATTTGACCTACATTTTCCAGTTGAGTGAACAGGTTAAAGTTTTTGGTGCAGGTTTCATTTCCAAGTAACTTTAAGCCCTAAGTTGACCAAACTTGCATGGATGATACATCTAAGTATGCACACTACTGGGCTTGCTTCAGATGCTGAATTTGACCTACATTTTCTGGTTGAGTGAACAGGTTAAAGTTTTTGGTGCAGGTTTCATTTCCAAGTAACTATGAGTTCTTTAATGACCAATCTTGCATGGATGATACATCTAAGGATGCATACTACCAGGCTTGCTTCGGATGCTGAATCTGACCTACTTTTTGTGGATGAGTGAAAATGTTAGTTTTTGATATATGTTTCATTTCCAATTAACTATGAGCCCTATAATGAGCAAACTTGCATGGTCGATACATCTTAGGATGCACACTAATGGACTTGCTTTGGATGCTGAATTCGACATACATTTTTCAGATAATAGACCAGGTAAAAGTTATGGTTGCAGGTCTATTTCCAAAAAACTATAAGGCTAATATAACATAGTATAAACCAAACTTGCACAAATGATGCATCAAGAGATGAAAACTCTCAAATTGCTTCAGATGCTGGATTTTGATTACATTTTCATTAAGAAGAACTAGTTTAAATTTTTTATGTAGGTCTATTTCAAAGTATCAGATCAAAATTGCTTAAATATTTTCATTTTTGGAATGAACACTTTTTTGTTGGTTAATTGTGTGACTTTGCCTTACTTAAAGACAACATTCGTTGAGGTGAGCTCTGTAATCTCTGATTACCTATGTTTATTGTCCTTGTAAGACGTGGGCATTTACCAAGTACTGTAAAATCACATATTTTCGTGGGGTTAAATTTTTGAGGTTTGAGAAAAAAATGTTGGTTCATGGGGATTTGATTTCATGGATAAAGGACATTTTAATAATTGAGTATAGGAAATTTTACATTTCGTGGTGGACATGAATTCGTGGGTCTCTTCATCCCTTGAAAACAATGAAAATTAAACCCCCATGAAAATTAGTGATTTCACTGTATGTTCCCAAGGAGATCACTAGGGTATCGCACAATACATATCTGCAGTCTGTATTAAAGGTCTATTTGTGTCCATGCTTCTCCTAAATTCTAGCAAATTTTCTATTTCTTTATTCCAGAAGTAACAAGAATGGCTATGACTTGAATCGGAATTTCCCAGACTATTTTGCTGTAAATCCTGCCCCAATCCAGCCAGAGACTGCTGCTGTAATGAATTGGACTCAGCAGTATCGATTTGTCCTCTCGGCTAACCTCCATGGAGGAACACTGGTTGCCAACTATCCCTTTGATAATTACCCAAATGGTAGGAAGTGAAGGACTGTAATCTGTGACTATCATGAGAGTCAATTGGCTGAAATAATAAAAGTTGAAAATGCAGAATTTGAAATGCAATGCTTGAAGTATGAAATTGCAAATAAATTGGCAATTAATTATGAGCATCTTACACTAAAACATACCAAGTAACTCAATTTTAACTTTTTTTCAGCCAATGGTATTCCTAAGTATGTGACCTGCCCTGATGATGATACATTTATTTCGTTATCTAAGACATATTCCTACAAACACAGTAACATGTCCTCTGGCAGCCATTGTGGAGACCGATTCCCAGAGGGTATAACTAATGGTGCTCTGTGGTATCCAGTAACTGGTAATTCTTTAAGTCATTTCAGAGGAAAATTTCTGAACTGCACAACTCTTTACAAGACCTGGAAGACAATATACGTGCATATATACATTTATAAATCAATTTTTGACCTCATTGTGAAAGTCAAAACAGAAAATGTGAATATGCTCAAATATTTTTTTGTAGCACTTGACTGCCAATTGAACTAATTTCTTACTCTTGTGCAATAATTAGAAGCATTTTCAATGCTTAGCATACGTTGTATTTTTTGCCCAGACTTCAACCATTTTCAATGCACTCTGGGCTATTTACAAGATTTTTTAATAAAACCTTTTTTATTTTTTTTTCCTGTACCATACCTGAGGTCCTAATGATTCTCCTGTGCAATTTTGTATACATGTTTTTCTCTTCTGTTCCTTTAGGTGGCATGCAGGACTGGAACTACATGCAGGCAGGGTGTATGGAGATCACCCTGGAGATCAGCTGCTGTAAATACCCTGCAGCATCAACGCTCCCAGATTTCTGGAGTGCCAACAAACAGGCTCTGGTGGACTATCTCATGAGAGTCCATTCAGGTACTGAAATTGAATCCCTCACTCAATGTTTAATGGTTCATTCTTGAATCTTTGTATGTTTTTCATTCAGAGAGCAGAATGTTACCTTACCTGCAATTAAACTACATATAAAGAATGTATCTTAATATTATGTACTGTAATGGTTTTACTTACCTGTAACTCTATTTGGTCCATGTAAGTGGTTGTTAAATGGTGATTTAGATTAATTTACTGGTTGTATCTTGCTGTAGATGTGTCAAAGAGCTTCTGTTTTCTACAATTAATCTAAGTTATGCAGATAACAAAGGTTGAGAACTTTAATGACCGATAACATACATGTTACATTTTCTGTTTCAAGGTGTCAAAGGCATAATATATGATCAAGAGGGAAAAGTAGTCCCAGCAGCGACTCTCAAGATCAAAGGTCGTGAACTGGTATCCTTCCGCTCCTCAAACTATGGAGAATACTGGAGAGTCCTTGTGCCAGGCGCTTATGTTCTCCAGGTAACACTGCAAAAAATCAAAGTTTGAAAAATTATCATTTATTTCTAAATAGTAAGACTTAATTTTACATACCAGTTTTTTTTTTTTTTGCTTGCATCTTATATCATTTTGGCAAGCTTGTTCACATATCTCTTTTGTTGACAGTATCCTTCCAAGTATCCTTCCCGGTTCTTATTACTAGTACTTTTGAAATAAGAGAAATCTTAAAGAGTGCTTTTTCTTAGATTTTTTTAAAATTTTTAAGGTGTTCAATGGAGTAAACAGTACAGAGAAGAGTTTTGTTGTTACAAATGGACAGGTGACCAGACTGGACATAAGATCCTGGCAGCCTATAATATCCGCCGGTACCTCATTAAATCAGCCATACATTCCCATTCTACCAGTATTGCTCATCGCATGTTATCACCTGATGTACATTTTATTTTTCTAAGTGCCATTAAAATGTACTTTTTCACTCTTGTTCATAATTCATGGAATCACAATTTCTGGTCAATCCATGTGTAGAAAATTACGCCAATTTCTTGGATTGTAATTATACGTCCTTAATGCTTTTTAAGCATGCTGTGACAATATCCGGAGTAAATTGAGAGTGTGAAGTATCCCAAAGAAAAGAAAAATTAATTCAATGGTAAAAGAAGTATTTTTACAGTATTTAGTGAAATTACAATTGTACCTTTTTTTTTAATAAGTATTATATTTTCTTCTCTACCTCTTGATACGTTTTAACAAATATAGCAAGAAATATATCTACATGTATTAAGATGTAATGTCTGTATAAATATGATATTTTTCATATACTTAGTTTCAAAGACATCATATTTGAAAAATGGGACTTGCATCATTGAAAATAGAGGAGGGGTTTCCTGCTTAACTAAACTCCATTGATTTCACTAGTTTCATTTGCATACACCTGTGTCAGTGATATGACTAATAAATGTTTATGTCCTCAAGTTTGAAATATATATATATTTCCCAAGTTTATAGAGAAAATTAAGTGCTTGAAAAACAATTGTATTTTTAAGTATGTTTGAATAATGAAACAGTTAAACACTTGCCTCTTACTTTTTAAAACAGTCAAAATGTTTTGTGATTGTATGTAATTTTGTATTTTGTTAAATTGCAAATATATGAAAAAGGAGCATAGGTTACTCTTAGGTTGTGCATTGACAATGAAAATTAACTAAGACTTGTAAATTGTTTATAATGAGATTTTATTGTTTTTATATTTTAGAAACAGAAATTTTATTCTTGAACCTTAAAAATAAAATAATTTTTATAAGAATTTATTGACATCTGAGATGTTGACAGGTATTAGTGTTAGGCACACAAATGACAACTCAGGGTAGAGAATTTACTGTTAGTTGACCTGACAACATGAGTGCATTTAATAAACTTATCAATTACCTGTTTTTGATTGAAATATTCTAAATCAGCACCTCTTTATATGGTCATTTTGTGCTTGTCACAGCAATTGTTTGTTTCAAAGTATTGTAAGATGAATGACCACCATACTAGGCCATCATGACAAAATGCATATGTAAAAGGGAAAATACAAATTGCATATCATGTTTGCAAAAATGCAAAATCATTTATCAGCAAAAATTCAATTTTTTTTAAGATCTTGTGTGTATTATGTTTCTTATGTCCACTGTTAAAAAAATGCATGCATATACTAGTATCTGAGGTCTGCATAAAAATGCTAGTGATTTATATATTTTAATTAATTTACTTGCTTAAAATCAAGGTCATTCAAAGTTACAACCTGTGCCCTCCCCTTACCTCCACCCAGTCCCATTTGCAGTTGTTGCCGACTTCAACAAACTTAGCATTTAGATCTATAATGGATTTATCATATTATTGTATGTTCTGTAGTATTGTCTATTAATATACATCTTATTTACTGAAGCATGTATATTATTATTCAAGTGAAATAGTAATTGTAGCTTTTATTTTATTTTTAAAGGTCACATTGTTTTATTTTTTTTTTATAAACCAAAAGCCCAAAATACATGTTCTGCATTTTGCTGCCTTTAGTAATTGTACCAGAACTTTAATTAAGACCTCTCGTGTATATTTACAAGAAATATAAAATGTACAAAATCTGCATATTTGTATTTTAAATTCTTATATAAAAGTCAAAATTTGCAGCATTATTTTCCTGTGATATGATATGTATAAAATGTAAGTATATAGTTATAAGTGTGGTTTTTAAAGACAAAAACAGTGGAACTTGCATTGCTTGAACACTTGGTATGTCAATAACATGGTATATGTGAATTTGGATGAATGCCCTAATCATAATGTTAATGTGGTATTTATATTCTTGATATCAAATTCCAGTTATGAATATTGAAGTTCTAAAATTTTCTGGATATTGAGGTTTAACTGTATGTTTCTGTCCTATTTAAATTCTTTCAAGTGCCTTTCAAAATGTATGTTTTAATTATGTATGTTTAATAAATGAATGATTTATGATGATAAGTTCAAGATTAATTTTTCTCAACTTACGGAATTGGAGACTTTCCAAGTTGTGATTGAGTATAGTAAAGTACATGATTCTGCATTAATTTGAATGAGATAGCTTTTATGTTAGGTCAAGTGTTATATCATATTACAGTCAACTGATATGAATGAGAGACATTTTTGTACATTGCTATTCGACCTTTAAGTAAGCCAGAAGTCTCTGACAATACTGCAGCTCTACTGGTTTTTACTTATAATGAAGGTAAAGAAAAGGAGCATTTGAACTTGAAACTTGCAACATTTTTTTTTTTTAACAGCCTGTCTCCGAGAAAAGCATGCAAATTAGTCCGAAAGCAGGTTTCTCCGATTGCCTTCAAATTTTATGAGCCAAATCTACTATGCATAAAATGAAATCAGACAAATTTTTATTTAGTTAATCCAACCCACATACTTTTTATGGCCTGTTACTAAAAATAGCTCTTATGCAACAAAATTTAAGGTAATTTTTTAACATTTTAGACATATTTTGAGGAGAGAAAAAATTGCAACTTTAAAAATTATTCAAATATTTTCATTTGTTGTAAAAGAATAAAGATTAGTTCTTCTTAAATGCATAGTCAGAATGATTGACATTCATTTTGTTTTAGTGCAAATAGGTCATGAAATTGGCACTGTTCCAAAATTTGGAAAAAGTGACATTTTTTCGTGGAATTGAAACTTTTCTATTAAATAGGGGGGATGTTTTAATCCAGTAACTTTTATTGCTTGTTGTTAAGAATGCCTCTGTGAACAAAATATACAAAAATTGCCCTTGGCCAATGTACACTTTAGAAAATATTGAAAGTCAAAGTTTGTGAAATTTACACATAAAAAATTTCAAGGATACAGTTTAAGCTATTCAAAAAATAGCTCAAAACATGTCCAAAACTAAAAAAAAAAATAATTTCTATAGTTCTTCTTATCTGTATTTCAGAATTTAAACAAACATAGCCCTCAATCTAATACTTAATGAATTTAAATAAAAAATACATAGAAAAAGAGGCCCGGGGGGGGGGGGGGGGGGGGGGGGGTGGCTATGAATTTTTTATATTTCCATCTCTGTGATAACTCTTTGAAAGTAAGCAGAGTTGATATCTTGATAATTCTACCGGAATGTAAATAAGGCAGGTTGATAGGTCAGGAGCTAAGGAGGCCTAATATGCATGAAAATCTTGTGTGCATCTGTCTCTGTGTCTGACGCTAAGGAGGCCAAATATGCATGTAAATCTCGTGTGGCTGCCTTTGTGTTTGATGTCAGTGGGCGAGGACTGTTTAAATTGGCATGGGAGTACTTCTGTAATTTAAACTATGTCTACATTTTTTAAAGTCTAAATGTACAATTTTATTTCATAATGAAATGGAAATATAAGGAATCACTGTCTAATTAGTAAAGTATGCCAGGGACATCAACAATAGTGGGAATCATGGGATAATTTACGCATAATGGGCGAAACGGGCAAATTATCCCATGTTTCCCTCTTAGTAGTGTTGATGCCATGGCATACTATGCTAACTAGACAGTGATTCCTTAAATAAACCACTAAATGGATAAACTTAAGTATAAACCTTTATTTACATTTAATGCATGTATACATACTTGCTCAACATTTACACAAGTGAACCAAGTGAACACATTATTCATCAAACTAGTCGTTTGATCAGCATATTCATTTGAGTGTTACATGTAAGCAGAAACAATGACTGCAAATTTTCAACATCATTGATACAAACATTGAGATATTTCAGATAAGTTCTTTTTACAGGAGGAAGGTGAAATGACTTGAAATTTTTTTGGATGAATGTGACACAATATATCCTCCTTTTTTGAGCTACTTAGCTATTTATTTCATTTATAAAATTTCGTCATTTTCATTCATTACTTTCTTCTTCTCCCATAAAGCAGTGGATTAACACAATCTGGACAATTTACTGCTCTCCAACATTCTTCACGTATCATAAACAAGTAATTGTTCACTTTCTGGGAGAATCATTTTCTGGATTTTAAAGCCAAACCATTTCATTTTCCTGTTGCCTCTTACTGAACTCCACCACTGTCTGTTCCTTATAGGACACTTTGCAGTTTGTATCAGTAAATTTTGAAACTCTCTAATGCTTTGAACATTTTAGTAGCATACAAATTTGTTGCTGTGATGCTCTTACTTGATATTGAATTTGTAAAATAATTAAGTGAGATTTTCAACTGCCAATTTAAATATTTTTCAAATTTCAATATTGAAAATTCTTTTTGGTCTGATATTAATAGAAGTAATACATGTATTGATGATTACTACTGTCTTTGCTTGCTGTAGAGTTTCGACAACTTTCACAACTGGTATCATCTTTCACCTGATCAATCAGATCATGGTTCTATTGAAATAACACTTTAGCTCTGCTCCATTGTTTTGCTTTCTTGGAAAAACTGCATTTGATACCTATAAAACAAAATGCACCATGAATTGAAAAGAAATGTGTCCTCCTTCTTTGAGTATATATCAGTAAAATATAAAGACAGAAAGAATAATTTTTTGTACAGGCAGTCAGGCACAAGTGACAGCTAAATGGATGAAAAGTGAAGTTAGGTCATTGGAAAGGTCTAAGTAAGAAAATAATGGCAAAATGATTGCTGTCACCAATACTGATTTTAAGAATATTAAGTTTATAATTACAAAAATCATAAGTGAAGGTCAAAGGTGAAACAGTCATTAGAATACTCAACTAAGGTAAAAAAGAAAAAAGAGGATATAGTCAGATTGCTCTTACCATTATATCTAATTTTATTATAAAGATTTATCTTGAAAAATGAAATAAATGCCATTGGAGAGATCAATTGCAAGGTTGAAAAAGTCAGATTGCTCTTACCATTATATCTAATTTTATTATAAAGATTTATCTTGAAAAATGAAATAAATGCCATTGGAGAGATCAATTGCAAGGTTGAAAAAAATTGTGATACCATGTATGTAAAAAAACATATTTTATTAAAAATATAATATAAACTGACGGGTAAAACTGGTGCAAGTGTGTTCATGTGCACCACTTTCTTTCATATTTTCTGACAAAAAAGTGATGAAATAACCAGGTGTCTGTCTAAAAATTGTAGAAGAATATCAAAAAGCTGACCAAAGCTAGATGTGACATTGTGACATAAATTCCCCAGGAAGAAAAAAGAAAAAAAATTACATGATACCATCTATCATTTTTTTAGGTCCATATTTACTCTACACAAATTTTGTATTGTTGGACTTTTGAGCTGGAATATACTGTTTGTTATCTCCTTATATTTCATTAAAAGTTTCAACATGTGAAAATGAAATATTAACAAAATTTCATACCGGTATCCTATAAAATATTTTTTTTCTTAAAGCAGTTATCAACCTTTGATTGATTGAAAGCATTTTGTTTTTATATCCCATTAATGAATTGTCAACTTTTGATCTACAAAAACATAAAAAAAAATATTTCATTTGGAAACAAGAGGCCCTGGGGCCACAGCGCTCAACTGAGCACATTGGTTAGGAAAAAGCACATATCAGATCAGAACTGAAAGTTTACTGGGGGGGGGTTGAATTTTAATCCCCCAGGGGGTCATGATTTTAACAAACTAGAATCTACACTAACTGAGGATGATTCCATATAAATAGAAAAA